CTTCCAAAGGACCTGGGTTCAATTCCCAGCACCCACATGGTAGCTCACAACTGTCTGTAACACCAATTCCAAGGGATCTGTCACCTTCACACTAGTGTACATAAAATAAAATTACATAAAACATTTTAAAAAGAATGAAAAAAGGGGAGCTTGCCAATTTGGCTGGGCTGGTTGGCCAGTAAACCTTAGGGACAGTCCTGTCTCTGCCTCCTGAGTATTAGGGTTACAGCTATCAATGCTGCTGCTATAAACTTTTTACATGAGTGATAGGGCTTGAACTAGTATCCTTATGTTTGCATGACAATTATTTTACCAACTGAGCCATCTCCCTAGTTCTCTTGCTCTCTGTTTGCTCTTGGAAATTGAACATAGAACCCCATGCATGATAGGCAAGTGCTCTACTGAACTAAATCCTCAGCTTTTTGTTTTGTTTTGTTTTGTTTTGTTTTTGGTTGTTTTGTTTTCTTTCTGCTTTTCCAAATAGGGTTTCTCAGTCCTGAAATCACATTGTAGACGAGACTGGCCTTGAACTCACAGAAATCCACCTGCCTCTGTCTCTGCTGAGAATAAAGGCATATGCCACCACACCTAACTTGATTTTTATTTTTTTAAGACATGGTTTCTCTGTGGGCCCTCCATGTCTTGGAACTTACTCTGTAGACCAGGCTGACCTTGAACTCAGAGATCTGCCTGTCTCTGCCTCTTGAGTGCTGGGACTAAAGGTGTGCGCCATCACTACCCAGTAACCCTTTTTACTGTTGTGTTTTTGTTTTTAATTAAGTTATTTAAGATGGGGTCAGCAGGCCTGTTTCTAGAGTTGTCCATGATGGTATCTTTTTTTTTAAAGATTTATTTATTTTATGTATATGAGTGTTATATCTGCATTTACATCTGCCAGAAGAGGGAATCAGTTCACATTATAGATGGTTATGAGCCACCATGTGGTCGCTGGGAATTGAACTCATGGCCTTTGGAAGAGCAGACAGTGCTCTTAACCGCTGAGCCATCTCTCCAGCCCCATGATGGTATCTTTTACCTCTGCTGCTTCCTGCTGTTCCCTGGTGGCTCATGAAATGGCTTCCAAACACCAATAATAATGTCTTGACAAATCCCATTGCAAACCTGCCTGCCTCCAAACCATCCATTGTACTTTCTGACCCTAAGTGCCAGACCTGTCTCAAGGATATATCACCCAGAAGACCTGGTACTTGGCTGTTTCCCAGGAAGTCTTCTAGACCCTGGTTGGCTGCCTTTATTCCTTGGAGTTCATTTGTGAAACTGGTGGTGACCTTCACAGAAGGCTCCATCTTCATGAAGGATGTCTGAATACTGGCAAACACCCATCAGCAAGAAGTTCAGGTGATGGTGCTGTGTCCTAGCACATTCCAGGTCCTGGGCCATGACTGTGGGATCTTTGGGAGCCAATATCCCTCAGACTGGGGAGAACTGAAATGGAACTGGGCTGGGTATGAAGAGTGTGAAGTTCTAGCTACCCAACTACCATTCCAAGTCATTAATTCATTCGTTCATTCCTTGATTAATCAAGTGTTGGGGATGGGGCTCTAAATTCCAGAGATGAATTACTGAACAAAACAGACAAGCACTCCTGCCTTTGTGGAATTTATAGTCTGAGGGGAGAAGATAAATAACAAAACAAAAAAAGTAAGTCATTGTATCTGGAAAGGTAGCTTAGTTGGTAGAGTGCTTGCCTACTACACTGGGGTTGATCCCTAGTATCACATAAACCAGGCAGGGTGTTGTATGACTGTAATCCCAGCATTTAGGAGGTAGAGAAGCAGGAGGATTGCAATTTCATTATCATTCTTAGCTACTTAGAACCATAAGTACTTCAAAACCAATCTGAACATGGCATGCTGGTACATACCTGTCAGTTTTGTTATGTTTGCTTTCCTGTTCCTCTTGTTAGCATGGTATATTCATTCATGGAGCCTCTTGGGTGTCAGTCCAAGTCATTCTTGTCAGTTTTCTCTATAGAGATTACTTTAGTCTTCATAAATCCCTTTTGCCTGCTTTTATCATGGAAAGTTTGTCTTTCTCAAGTATGATAGTTTTGCTGGGTATAATAGTCTGGCATAGAGGCTTGGTTTTTCAAAACTTGAAGTACATCATTCCAAGCTATTCTGACTTCAGTTTCTGTTGAGAAATCAAATTGGCTGTTATTCTCAGGGGGCTACATTTATATGTGACTCTTTTGCAGTGTTCAACATACCTTATTTTGTATATTTAGCACTTTCACTATAACTTGAGGCATGAAATTTCTTGTCTAGCCTTGTCTATTTGTGTTCTAAATGCCTCTGGGATCTGGATGAGGATTTGGCAAAAGTTTTTACTATGACTTAGTGAAATGTTTCCTATCCTTTGGCATGAAGTTCTCCTCCTCCTTCTATGTTCTAGTGTCTTTTTATAGAGCCCCAAAGATCTAGCATGTTCCATTTGTACATTTCTTAAAATATTTTTTTTCTTGACTGAATGCTATAATTGCTCCACCTTGTTTTCAGGCTCAGATATCCTGTCCTCCCTATGGTCCATTTTATTGGTGACTCAGTTCAAATGGACTTAATGATCTTTTCATCTCTAGCATTTCAGTTTGGTTTTACTCCAGTATTTCTCTGTGTGTGGAATTCTATTTTCACATCTTTGATTGACTTCTGTATTCCATTTAGCTATTGGTGTTCTCAGGATTTATTTGGGAGTTAATTTCTATTATTTGAGCATATTTATAATCACTTTTCAAAATTCTTTCTCTGGATCTTACCAAAATCACTCTCGTGTAGGCCATTAAGATGGAATTGGTATTTGGGGAAGAAACATGTCTTGATTTTTAGTGTTTCCTGTATTCTTTTATGGGGACTTGTACAGCCTGTATTTTCGGTAGAAAATTTTTTTCAAATTGTATTGCCCTTTCTTCATTCAGTGGAAATGTGTGCAGGGTTCAAGGCATCCTAGTAGGGTTGTGGTGTCATTTTCCTTGGTCAGACTGATGTTTAGAGAACCAGGTTCAATTCCCAGTACTCCCTGAGAATAGAATACTGTCTGCAACAACAGTCACTATCCAGGTAGGCCTTCTATGAAAATCCAGTAACAGTCAATGGAAAAATAATCACCCCTTAAGCACCAGTCATTTCAGGGAGCAGAAAGACACTGATAATTGGAGAATATTGATTACTGAGTATATGAATGGAGAGAAAAGAACAGAAGGAAAAAACCCAGCAAAGCAGGACTACTGGTTGGTTTTGGCTTGCTAGAGAAGTAGTGAGGGGAGTGTAAACAGAGGGGGGTGTTGTAGGGTAGAAGGTGAAGGAGATTTGGTTATAGGTAGACTGAGAGATGCAAAGAAAGAAATACAACCATATAATGTAGAAGGGTTCCATCTTTCAGGAAGCTGAGCTAGAGCCCCTCAAAATAGGTCAGGGTATGTCCTTTGGAAAAGCAAAAACAAGAATAATGAGTGGGCAGACCAGAAAAGAGAAGGACCTAGCTGGCCTGCTAAATTGACACTGGGAGTTAAATAAGCAAGAAATAGATGTGGGCAGTGGGGACATCTGGGTGGCCCTGTTGCTCTATTCAGTCTTGAGTTTCTTGTTCTTTCCCTGCCTCCCAGAAGCCTGTCTGACCCTGCTCCTCCGAGATGGGCAAGGCTTTTCTCCATTCTTTCTTCCTAGGCTTCCTTTGGATGATCAGCTTACAGGTGCTAGCCCAGCTTCCCACTCTGGCCTGGGTGGGATGGTGAGAAGTCACCAGAGGCTTAGGATAGCGACATCTGGCACAAATTGAAACAGCCCAGGCTGTGGCTATGCCTTCAGGAGCTCTGGTCACTGAGTAGTTTCAAGGTCTCTGCTAAGTGTTAAAAAGGTTAGTGCTGACAGAAAAGTAGTTGATCTGGCTGTTGGACTGCCAGAACCTTTGCTCAAGGCAAGCAGCAAGATTTGAGAGTCCAGCAGCTTCCAATTAATTGAATTACTGGAAATTCCAGTCCCAGGGGATACACCTCTCTCTCCTGACCTCTGTGGGAAGTGCAAGCATGTGCTACAAAAGTACATGGAGGTAAAGCACCCATTCACATAAAGTAAAATGAAATAAACAAAAGACAGTGTGTACTGCTCTTGCAGAGGATGAGTGTTCAGTTTCTAGCACTTAAAATGGACAGCTCACAACTACCTGTAACGCCAGCTCTATAGAGAGCTGGCCCTCCCTAGGCACTGCAATCATATGCACAGACTACAGACCCATAACACACACACACACACACACAATTAAACTTACTTACTTTTTAAGAAAAAACTCAGGTATGATACAGCATGCTTGTAATCCCCATCAGGAGAATTGCCACAAGTTTTGAGGCCAGCCTGGGCTTCATAGTACCAGGCAACCAGGGCTAGGTGCAAGAGTCTGTCTAAAAATCAAGAGATTTTAAACAGATTCTTAGGATGCTTAAATAATGTACCACGAAGAGGTAGGTCTTCTTTTCTTTCTTTCTTTTTCTTCTCTCTTTCCTTCTTTCTTTTTCGAGACAGGGTTTGTCTGTGTAGCCTTGGTTGTCTTGGATTCACTTTTATTCGAGGACCAGGCTGACCTCGAATTCACAGAGCTCTGCGTGCCTCTGCCTCCCCAAATGCTGGGATTATAGGTGCCTGGTGAGGTAGGTCTTTCTGAGTGTCCCAGGATGACACGTTCTCACTTGAGAGTTGCTAAGGAGGGGCACCTGTGGCAGGAGGCACCGATGCGATGACCTAAGCAGGGAAGGCCCTGGCCGTGTGGGTGACTGGATCACGGCTGTGCTGGGGAAATGGAGGGTGGGCTCGCGTGCGTGAGCTGGAGACTGTGGCCGGGGTCTGTAGTCAACACTAGAGCGTGCGGCTCGGCGGGAGGTGGAGCCCCATCCAAGCCCCGCCTCCAGGTAACCGGGGTCGTTCGGGAACCACCAAGGCTCTTCAGGGCCCTGGCGCCTTGTGCCGCACCGCCTGCGCGCATGCGCCCGCGGCCCCGGAAGTGCTGCTCACGGCGTCGGCCCTTGCGTCCCGGCGGGAGCCGGCAGAGTCGGTGGATGTAGGGCCTGTGCGCTCGACATGGCTTCGGCGGGAGGCGGCGGCTGTGAGAGCGCGCCGCCCGAGGCCGATCGTCCCCAGCCGCGGCCGTTCCTCATTGGCGTGAGCGGCGGCACTGCTAGCGGCAAGGTGAGCGGCCTGCGCCCGGGCCTCGCGGAGGGACTGTCGGGCCACTGGTCGGGACGCCATTGCCTCCCGCCCAGCCGCGGCACCTGTTGCTAGCAGCCAGGGGACGGCCTCTAGGGGCTGGCGGGTCACTGCACAAGCCCACTTACTTCCAGCACTCTCTGTCCCCAGTCAACAGTATGTGAGAAGATCATGGAGCTGCTGGGACAGAACGAAGTGGACCGCCGGCAGCGCAAGTTGGTCATCCTGAGCCAGGACTGCTTCTATAAGGTTCTGACGGCCGAGCAGAAGGCCAAGGCCTTGAAGGGACAGTACAATTTTGACCACCCAGGTACATGCAGAAAGCTCGTCGGGAGAGGTGGGGGTGGAGGGGTAGACTGCTGCGATTTGGGGGGGTCCTCTAACAGGGATTGCAAACTGCCAGACAGATAGAAAGGTACTTGTGAATGCAGACTGCTGGACCAGGGCTGTCAGAGATGTTTGTGGGAGGCAGGCTGCCAGACCAGGGCCACACAGAGATGTTTCCTGGATGCAGGCTGCCAAGGGAGGCACTCCAGGAATGTGTATGTGGGGTAGAGTGCCAGACCGAGGTTGTACAGACAGAACTGCGAGATGCCAGCTGCCAGGGTGGGGACTGATTGGGATGCAGACGCAGTGGGGGCTCCGTGATGTCCCTTGGCAGTGAGCCCGTTTTAGGTTAGGAGGACTTGCTAATTCTGTGGGCCTGGAGTGATTCAAGACTTTGGCTAGAATCACTTGGGAAGGAGGTAGCAGAGGGGTCTTCAGGATCACTTCTCCATGTATTGAAATCTCATCCCTGCACCTTGCTGCCGAGGGGTCCTTTGTACACCCTACTGCTCCAGAGCTGTCCGGGGCCAGTCTTCAAGGAGGCCAGTTGTAGAAGCAGGGGCTGATCAGGGCCCAGGCCTTGGAGCTGTGTCCTGGTCTGAAAGGTGCCTGTGGTTCCTAGGTTTAAGCTTTCCTAGGGACACAGGAAGGTCAGAGGACAGCAGCGTTAACTGCCACTTCCCAGATACAGAGTGGAGCAGAGGCCCAAGTCATCTCTTTCCCTCTGTGCTGGCCAGTCAAAAAGTCTTTGTTCCAGTTTCTGGTGGAATCCTGTGGTGTGCTGTGGGATCCTTGGCATCCCTGGCTCTCAGCCGTGCTGACCCTCAGCCGTGCTGACCCCCAGCCGTGCTGACCCTGGGGCAGAGGTAGCTTTCTTCTGTCTGCTGCACTGGGGCGGCTAGGTATTCTGACCTTTTTCTGTTTTGTAGATGCTTTTGATAATGACCTGATGCACAGGACTCTGAAAAACATTGTTGAAGGCAAAACTGTCCAGGTTCCCACCTATGATTTCGTGACCCACTCAAGGTAAGCAGGTAGTTCCCTCGGGGGCCAGTGACATAGACCTGTCTACACACACAGGCTTGAGGTGGATTCCACCCCAGTCTGGGCCCTTGTGACTCAAGTGGACCATCAAGCAGGCCCTAGCCCGGCCTCTCTCTGGCAGGTTGCCGGAGACCACGGTGGTCTACCCAGCTGATGTGGTTCTATTCGAGGGCATCTTGGTGTTCTACACTCAGGAGATCCGGGACATGTTCCACCTGCGCCTCTTTGTGGACACAGACTCTGACGTTAGGCTGTCTCGAAGAGGTAAGGGCCTCTGGGTCCCTGGCTGGGGCTGGGGTCTTCCAGGGCTCCCTGGGAGGGGCTTAGGCTGGTATCTTGCTCCTGTTACTGCAGTTCTCCGGGACGTGCAACGAGGAAGAGACGTGGAGCAGATTCTGACGCAGTACACCACCTTTGTGAAGCCAGCCTTCGAGGAGTTCTGCCTGCCGGTATACTGCCTTTACCATTCCAACATGGAATGGGTCCCAGCTCTGCCTACCTCTCCCTGGCTGCACTGTTTGCCTTTGTCTCAGCTTAAGACCCCGATGCCCTTGCATTGGCGGTTCCTTCCCAAGCCTGGCCTGTGTGTCTTGCTCTCTCCTTGGAGCCTCTCTGTGAGGACTTGACTGTTCTCCTGGGCCCATCCCCTGGGCTGCTCTGGACCAGGTTCTAAGATCCCTGCTGATTCATATTAGGAGTCTTCTGTGTTTTTCCATCTTACATTTCAGGAGTTAGAGGTGAACTTGCGGCTCTACCCAATTCAGGGAGGGAATATGTAGAATTAAAGGTTGTTTTTTTTTTTTTTTCTTTCTTTTTTTCTACACCCACTCTAGCTCCCAAATGAGACGGAGACCTGTTGCATTTATTAATAAGCTTTAAAGCACTATATCTGGGCAGATACTCATCTATTCAAATCCATCCTTGCTGGTCTGGTCTGTTTCCCAGCCATGTGCCCTTTACATGTCCTCTAGTCTTGCCCTTGCCAATCCTGCTCCATGGCAGGATCCATGCCTATCCTTTGTCCTCATGGCAACTCCTCATGGTCTGGAGGCCTCCCCACCACCAGCTGGGACCCCCACCAGGATTGCAAGTCCTGCCTTAACTCTCCTGCCTGGTCAGCTCTTTATTAACCAATCAGAAATGATAGAGCACAATTTTTACAGAGCATTGAGAGGGGCCTTCTTCAATAATAATAATAATAATAATAATAATAATAATAATAATAATAATACCAGAATCTGTTAGCATTTAGTTTACTGCAGGTTCAGCAATTAACAATAGAATTACAGAGACACACTTTAATACCATGGAATGAAGGTCACCTCTACAGGAGTGAGGTGGTTGGGAGCTCAGGATTGTAACCCAGGCTGGCCCTGAACTCATGGTAGTCTTGTACATTTAGTATCCTGAGTGCTGGGATTTTTAAGTGTAAGCTATCACACTCAGGACCAAATTGGAGTGATTTAAAGAGAAGCATAATATTTTGCCTCTTTAAAAAAAAAAAAAAAAAGTGTATTTGTGTGTGTTGTGTATGTGCATGTGTGTGTTCATGGAAACCAGAAGAGTATTGGATTTCCTGGAGCTGCAGTTACAGATGGTTGTGAGCTGTCTGATGGGGGTGCTGGGGACGGAACTGATTCCTCTTGCAAAAGCAGCAGACGATCTCAGCTGCCAAGCCAGCTCTTCAGCCCCCAGAATTTTCTCCCTTAAAGGTGAAAATAAAAGCCAGGCATGGTTGTGCATGCTTTTAATTCCAGAGCTTAGAGGAGGATGGAGATCTCTGTGTGTTCAAGGCCAGTTTAATCTACACAGTATATTCCAGGCAAACCAGAGATAAATGGAGAGACCTACCGTATACCCCCTCCCACCCCCTGTCCCAAGTAGTAAAGGGACCATGACTAGCAAGACAGGATAAGTCAGTCCCATATACTGCTACTCAAAGCTGCCTTCCTGCTGCTGGGATTAAAGTACACGGCCACTGCCAGGTGGTGGTGACACGCACCTTTAATCCCAGCAGTCAGGAGGCAGAGACAGGTGGATCTCAAGGCCAGCCTGGTCTACAGAATGACTGCCAGGGCTGTTACATAGAGAAACCCTGTCTTGAACCTGGCCCCCATTCCCCCATCCAAAAAAAAAAGTGGACGACCACACCTGGGTAAAAGATTTTTTTTTTTTCTTTAAAACTTCTTGTGCTCTCTGAAGTTTCTGGAAAGTCCTCGTGTGAAGCACAGGCTGTGCAGTCTCTTGCTGCCTTTTGCCCAGTAGGTGGTGAGTAGGCAGCAAACCCCTGGGCCGTGCACCCGGCCAGTGCCCGAGCAGAGGCAGCTGCTCCTCTTCCCTGAGGCTTGTGCTGCTGCTGCCCTCCCCAGAGTTCCCTGCCTCAGCTCTGCCCCCATCGTGTAAGCCAGTCAGCCCTGCAGAAGCATTCTCCAGGCTGGTAGGAAGGGGAGTGGGTTTCAGCCTCTCTTTCTGGAGATACTGCCAAAGTGGATGCCTGTAGGTGCTGTTTTAAACTCTGTTTTATTTGGGGTTCCTAAAGTCTCTACTTCCCTTCCAACCCCCTTTCCCTAGGTAAGAGAGAAAGAAAATTAGAAGGGAAAGGGGACATAGACCTTACTTCTTCCAGCTGGGTAGGGTCATTGGGTTCTTTTTGGGGTAATACCAGTCTCATTCTTCAGGATATCCAGCAGTCCAGGCAACCAGCAAATTCGGCCAACAGTCTTCTTTCTTCAAAGCGTTCTCTTCTCCTGTCTCCCCCAAGCTGCTACCCCTTTTCTCTCCGGGCTCTCATATTTCTACCCTCCAAGTCCTCAGAATTAAACCAACAGCAGCTGGCAAAGACCACACCCTGCATGAGGCGATTCTCAGCTGTGGACAAATTTAAGGCAGTCCCGTGGGATTAAAACAAAAACCTATTTACATAACAGAACTGAGTCTTTAAAGAAACCAAAACTTCCACTGTAGTATGAAGAGGAAGTTCTCAGGTTTGCACTTCCCGTTCATGGAAGAGGTTTCTACTGCCTTCAGCAACCTGTCTGCCGAAGGGGACAGGCCTCTTTGTCCCAAACAGGGATAGGTCGGCAGCATCAGGACCCTCCCCAGGTCCACAGGTGCTCTCAGCTTTGGGCTTTGCCTGGTTCAACCATGTTGCCTCAGCAGCATCTTTCTCTCAGCATTCCTCAGTGTGTGCTGGAGACTGTCCCTGCCATTAGAAGAAGTAAGTGGTGAGAGCACGTGGGTGGCAGGTGTGTTGGGGGTATCATGTATGTCTCCGTGGAGGGCCCATGGCTGGCACAGCTCTTGTCCTCTCATGCTCACTCCGATAGGACATGTGCAGACTTCAGTCCTAGTTTGAGAGGCCAGGAACTGTGGGAGGTGTCACACGGGCCTTGGCCAGCAATTAGAATGTGATGAGGCAAGCACAGTGGGACACAGTGGGACACTGACATGCCAGTGCACTCTGCCTTCATCCTCTGCTTCACTGTCTCTCACCTGTCTGAAGCTGGCCCCAATCTGCCAGTGCCACCAACATCCAGGCTTTCATCCCCTTTCCTGAGTACCTTAAAGTCCGCCTGCAGGAAACAGACTCAAGAGACTCCTCTGTCTTTCAGACCAAGAAGTATGCTGATGTGATCATCCCTCGAGGGGTTGACAATATGGGTAAGAAACCCCCAGCCCCACTCCCAAGCCGTGAAGCAGAGACTGCCATCTCCTTGCTTGGCTGCCAAGGCTCCCAAGTGTGTGCATGGGTCCTGTTGCTGTTTATCTGGGCCACAGGTTCATGTGTAACTTTCCAAGCATGTAAGAGCTGCTGGCTTCCAGAGGGGTGCAGGACACACATTCTGGGGCAGCTGAGGAAACGCGCAGGCACTGGCTAGCCTGGTGTTGACAGCGGGCCACAGCGTGATGTGCGTGTACACATTGCACAAGTTAATTTAAGTTAGAATTCTTTATTTGCTTTGTGGTGGGCTGTTCGTAACCTAAAACCTGGCTTTAGACAGGGCCTGCCAGGCTGATGAGATGTGTTTTTTATCAGCCAGTCGACATGTGCCCGCACAGCAGACAAAGCTAGGGAGTTCCGTTACGTGTCTTCTTGGCTGAGGCATGGGGTGGGCAGGTGGATGGGAGGCCGGAGAGGACTGCGGCGAGGCAGGAAGGCACAGTGGCTTCCTGCACGATGAGTGTTTTGCAGGGTCGGGGAGAGGGCAGGCTGCAAGGGTGCCAGGAGTGGGCATGCTGAGCCTTCCCCGTGTCTCACCGCAGTTGCCATCAACCTGATTGTGCAGCACATCCAGGACATTCTCAACGGCGACCTGTGCAAGCGGCACCGGGGAGGGCCCAATGGGCGCAACTACAAGAGGACGTTCCCTGAGCCAGGAGATCACCCTGGGGTGCTGGCCACTGGCAAGCGCTCACACCTGGAGTCTAGCAGCAGACCCCACTGAGGACCACCATACGCAGCTTCCCCACAGACCCCTGAATAAGGGTCTGGGCGCAGGGACAGCCACTGTCTCCTAAAAGCACAGTCAGGGATTACTATCAGCGTGATCTAGGGTGGCAACAGGACCAAGGCCTTCCTTGCTTGGGAGGGCAGACTCATGCTGACAGAGCATTCCGGTGTCCTCCTCTTCCTCTGAGTGGAGGAGGCCAGTAGGTCTCTGGATCACTCAGAAGTGCCCAAACTGCACAGTAAGCCCACGGTGCCAGCTTCCAGAGGGAGGCAGGCAACACATGGGGCCAACTGAGGAGACAGCCAGGCGCTGGCTGGCCTGTGTTGGTAGTGAGCCACAGTGAAGAGCTTCCCAGTGTGATGTGGTTCGTGTACACGTTGCAGAAGTAAAGTTCGAAGATTTGTTAGATATCCTTATTTGTTTTGTGGTGGGCTGTTGGTGACCCATGAACCGAGTTTTACAACTTGCCACTGGGCTACAGTCTACTCTGAAGAGCCTGAGGCAGGAACGGTAAGGTCTACTCCCATGACTCAAGCAGCCATCACGCTTGATGTGGGGACTTCTGGGTACCCTGGGGCCTGGATGGAGGGATAGATGCGGGCAGGCTATCAGGTCTCTTGTGGCTAAAACCATCTCCACAATTCTGCGGGAAGCCTAGCTCAAGGGCCTGTGTACAAGCCACTTGGGTCCAGTTCAAGGCTAGCATGTCAGGACAGACTGTCTCCAGCCAGGGGAGAACTGGAGTGCCGTCAGGTGAGCGTGGCTGCCTAAAAACTGGCTGCCAGCCAGTGTCATGCACGCCGAACCCAAAGCTCGTGGCTTTACAAATGGTCCCTTCTGTGTTGTCAAATTTGTCTCCCCCCCTCCAGGAGGGCCCCTTTTGGAAAAGTGTCCTTTGCTATTGCCATGGCCACTTCTCATTTCTTGTTAAATACAACTGTGGTTCCCACTCATGACAGCAGCTGAGCTGTATTGAGCTCAGGGGCTGGTTTCTGTTAGTGCTGTATTGGTTTTGTTGAACTGAAATCCCTTTGGAGAAAGAATCAATAAATAATACTTAAAAATTATTCATCTGTTCTTTTTTATTTTCATTAGGAAAATCAAATTAAAGGCAAGGAAGTGTATAGATGACATTAGCTGTGGAAGTTAGGTGAAGGTGCTTGTTTAAGTCTCCCAGGACAGTTTTTAGAATCAGATCAGTGAGGTGTCTTGACTGTCAGATTCCCAAGCAGGCTTTACAAAGGGCAGCCATGTCTGCACACTGCAGGCCTTGTGAAAGGCAGGGCTAAGACCCCATTGGTAGGCCCACCTGGGGCGAGGCTAAGGCTCATGACCCGTCCACTCCTTCACTGGCCGAGTGTTCCTGCCTGCCTTGGTGGTTCCTATATTGGCAGCTCCAACACTGGCTTGGTCAGAGTTGGGCCTCAGGGGTGACGCTGTGGCAGGGCACGTTCTTCACTGTGTGAGGAGGAATAAATCAATTCCAACGTGGAACCAGTGGACAGGTCTCTTCAGGTGAAATCGGAAGTAATCCGTGGAGTCCTTCCTGGACCCAGCTAGTCCTGCCTGCCGAGGCCTCTGCTGGTGGGAGACAAACAGGTGTTTGAGATTCTGGTCTGCATGCTTGTCTTCCATCCTTCTGTTCTCTAGTACTTTCGGATCAGAATGTCCCAGCTGTCTTTCCAGCGAAGGGCCCGGAGCTCGCCTGGTGACAGTGGTGTGTCCCCATAGGTGAGTGGGCGCAACATGTTGGACACGTGGCACGTGGAGGAATACCATGCTACAACCAGGGCACTGAAGACATTCCTCTGCAGCTGAGACCTGTGGGCAGCAGGGCAGGGCAAGGTTACAGCACCCCTCCTGGTCATCCCCCAGGAATCTGTTACTGCCTGCTGACACCTGTGGCCTTAGCTGTGTGTCTCTTAGACCTGCTGCTGTGCACCCCGCCCCTCCCCTTGCCTGCCTGGACACACTGCACATGACCCTCATCACTGCTGCTTTCTTTGCCATGGCTCTACCCACAAGGCCAGACGTGTGCTTACATCGTCCATATCAACACCGTCTGCTCCAACCCAAAGCTTTCTCTCTGCCACAGCCTACCACGTCTAGGCAATGAGCTGCTGCCGCCCTAGGGTGCTGTTAAGCCTCTCCCCAGTTTCACAGCCCTAAGGCCCACTGTGCCCGCACCTGCACAGGTGGTCGCTGATGTGCTGCAGGATGATCGGGAGCAGCAGGATCTGGAAGGTGAGTGCCGGAAGGTAGTGGTAGAGGAAGAGCATCCTCTCCATGAAGAAGAAGGGCAGGTAGTTGAGCGCCCAACCACCAGTACACAGGGCTCCAGCCAGCACCCAGTGGGACCAGGCATCTGTGGGAGGGTGTTATCTCAGAGCAGCACCGACACTGGGCTGGCCACGGGCACATTCCTAAGGTTCCTGACTTACATACTGTCCTCAGTACCTCACCCAACCCCAGGGCTAAGTGGACTGAGGGAGGACACTGATGATTCCTCCCGGGGCAGGGTGAGAGTGGACCCGCCCTGTGAGGTCCCTGCCAGTCTCAGCTCCTGACCGGTGTAAGGTGGCCAGGCCGCTCTCAACGCAGAATTCTGCTCAGCTCCTCAGGCAGCCACAAAGGAGTTATGTCTGTGACCAGCCCAGAATTGTAGCAAAAGTCAATAGGAAAAAAGGACCATGTTTTCTGGGATGAACAGAGGCCACAGGGCAATGGTGCTGTACTGCTTCAAGCAGCTTTTGGGGGCTGGTGCCATTTTCTTTCCAGGGCAGCAGTCTGCCGGCTGTTCACAACCATTGTCCCTAAGCCTCTTGCTGGCGGCTGGGCCTCATCCAGCGTTTCTGGTGCATGCAGGCAACCCAGAACTAAGGCTCTGTTTCCTGGGCTTCTCTCTGCTAAAGAAGTCTCAGTTGTAGTGTGGATCTTAACTGCCACAGGTTGTCTACAAGGACCCTACCTGCAAAAGCAGGGGCCCCAGGGCCTCGGGTCCTAATAAGCTGGCTGCCACCTATGCACGTGCAGGAGACACTAACCCTCAGGGAGGTCACAGATTCTCCTTCGCCGGCGGAGCAGGTACCAGAAGAAGAGTAGGGTGTAGGCCACTGTGGCAAGGCTGGCTGAAGCCCAGATCACGATGTTTCCAAGCAAGTGGATCTGAGCCTGAAAGCACAGGCAGTCAGGGGTCGTGACCTGCTCCTCACTCCAAGCGGAGGGCAATGGCCACAAGAGAGTTCAAAACCACACAGGCATGTCTGGAACGCTCCAGCCCATCACAAACCTGGATGCACCTGTTCCCTGTGCCACTCTTCTGGAGAAGCACACATGTTCTGTTTGCTAAAACTGACAACTCGGAGTAACGGAGATTTGGGGCACTGGGCGTGGATCCAGAGCTCCGTGCGTGCTGAGCATGCACAGCCTTGGGCTGCCCCATGCCCAGAGAAAAGCAAGTGCTTAGCCTTTGCTTTGGAGAAGCGCAGGACACCTACAGAAAGTCGACTGGGACTCACACATGCTTGCTTACACTGGTGCTGGGATGCAGCCAATAGGCAATGTTGGTGTCCAGGGTGACCCACTCCAGCGGGGTGGAGCTGTACTTGTGCTCTAGGTCCTCGCTCTTCAGTGTCAGCATCTTCCACTGCACAGAAGAGAGCACAGGCTGCAGGGCATGGTCATGCCTCCAGCTGCCATGATGTCAAGGTGTGTGACTAAATTGCTGTCCCTTGTCTATGACCTACCCAGCTTAAGTTCCTTTGGCAAGGGCTGCAGGTAGGGGCCCTGCATGTGAACCTGGGCTGTTGGCTTGGGGGGTCTGCCTCTATGGATTCCGCATCTGCTCTGCTGTGACAGGAGTCATGCCACGGGCCCTGAGTCTCTGCCTTACTTGCCGAGGGCTCTGCTAGTTGACTGGAGCCCACTTTGACCTGATGGAAAGCCTTAAGGTCCCCTAGCTTTATGCAATGTCAAACTGATGCAGAGCTGCCTTGTCCCCAACTCTACTGCGGGCAGGTCCATGGGGGTCTGGAGACCAGAGACGCACTCGTTCTGCTACAGGTTCAAGGACTTTAAACTTGAGTGCTCAGCAGCACAGAGTGCCTTCTAGGTAGAAATCAGCTCCCACTGAGTAAGTACGGGCGTCCCTCCAGTCACTTGTCACCTGCAGTTCCGAGAATCGGGCCATGAAGCTGAGGTTCCTGCTGATATCAAACTGAGTGGGGGAGTGCAGCTCCAGCTCCCTGTCCTTCTGCTCTTGGCCTGACAGTGGACACCAAGGAAGAGACACAGTGAGGCTGAAGAGCTGAGGACACAGGCTGCCACCAGCCCTTCCCCATAGCCCACAGGGACGCGTACCCACACTGCACCACTCACCTGGTTCCCACACCCCAAACTCCTCTGCCAAGTCAAGACTAGTGTACTCTGGGATGCATGATTTGCTGCTTCCCCAGCCTCCCCACTCGCCCTCAGCACACACACCTCATGTAATCATGGATCAGTGCGAGGGACTCTGCCAAACAGAATGGAGGGGGTTAGGTCCCTCCACATCAAGTGTTGTTTTGGTATTTCTCTGAGTGCCACGAGATCCACAGAGACAACCAGATGCCCATGACCCTGGGCTTGAATGACTCACTTGTGCCATACCGGTGTTCCTCCACATTCCACACCATGCTCTCGTGGTAGCCTTGTGACAACTTCTCCCCAACCACCTCCAACTGCCGAAAGCCCCAGTCAGGGAGGTGGGCCCCGCTCAACTAGCAAAACCGAGAAAGATAATAAGCAGAACAGGAAGATGGCTAGCCCCGTCTGCTGTGTCAGCAGATCCCTGCCCGGGGTCTTCCTAGGATTCTGGCCCCTGTGTGTACTATAAACACAGGAGACTTTCATTACTGGCTAGCCTACGTGAGCATAGGCCTGAACAGCTCTGGGAGGGGGTCGGGGAGACCAGGCTGACTAGGAGCTGCCCTTCACCTTCAAGATGGCAGACGTGTTCACATGCACGAAGCGCACTTCCGACAAGATAGTCTTCCAGGTATCTTGGCTGGACTCTCTGTTCACAATGTCCTGCAGAAGCGGATCTTGTCAGCCTGGGGTGGCAGTGGAGCACTTGCCTCGAATTCAGGAGGCCCTCTGCTCCGACCCCAGCACCACAAACCGGTATAAGCCTACACAGGTCTAGTCAGTTACCCATCCCTTCAGACCGCCTCAAATATCAACCTAGAGACCAGACACCCATCACTTTTCGCCCGAGAGGAGACCAGTCACACAGCTAGGAAATGAAGGTGGGTCCTGCCTGCAGTAAAGAGCTCTGAAGCAAAGGTAGCACGCGATGCTCGTCCTCAGCTTCAGTGCTGGGGCTCTCCATGACCCCCAAATACCCTCACAATACAGCACTTGAGCCAACCTGTCTGAGACTGCAGGAAAGGCGCCTCCCACAGGGACTCAAAAGTCACACGAGGACACAGAACTCTAGGCCAAAACAGGGACGTTTCCTAGACTTTATCTGGCCAGTGTAAGGTAGTTCTAGAGGTCACACCACCTCTGAGACTGGCTGGGGAGAGTCCTGGCCCCAGTGTTACAGATTGATATGCCTTAATGATGACTCATGATGAGAACCACAGATTTCAAGAGGCTAAGCAGGGACAAGACATCCTGGACCAGGTACCACTCCTGAGGTCTGCTCCCATTTCTGGAAACTCTATTTGACTTGTAGCAAGTGGTACTCAAAGGGCTGCCAGGAAGTGGGCAGGGGAAGGGATCAGCAATGGAGCCATTAGTAGTAGCAAGGTGGCAGGGAGGTCAGTGAGACTCTGTGCCATTCCTACTGAGACAGTGAGACTTGATGCCATTTCTACTGAGAGAGCTTCCCATGAGAAAGGGCACAGCACAGGATTTTCATCAGGCAAGCCCACTCAGGAAAGGCTGGAGAACAGAATGGAAATGGCCATGAATCTGTGCAGCACAGAGCAGGTGAAACCGGGCAAAGATGGGTCAAATGTGCCTAAGAAAATCAGTCCTCATGGATAAGAGCTTTGAGGAGGAAACCATCAGGGGACACAGTATCAAACTGGCATGGCACTCTAGGGAGGTCCAAAATGGGAGAGAAACTCAGTAATCAGGAACATCGCATCCTATCAGAAGCTAGGCCAGTATGATCTCTCTGCCTCGGAAATGACCCCAGGCCTGCAGCTGTTCAGTACTCAGTTTGTGGGCTCAGTAACAGGCCCCTCTCTGCCCAGCAACTTTCCCAGGAAACCTGACTTCGCAAGGGGAACAAGTGACCATCACCAGAAGGACACTGCCTCAGTAAAATCTCACTCTGACAGCCAAGCCCCTCCACCAGGAAACTGCTTGTGCTCCTATTAACGATGGGTGAGAATTGGCTAAGAGGCTTCCCCTGGGTCTCCAGGAGTGGCTGGAGGCCATGCTTATGGTGGGAAGGTGTCTTAATGAGCTTTAATTGTCAACGTGATACAGCCTAGAGTCATCTGAGAAGGGAGTCTTAACTGACGGACTGCCCAGCTCAGCCTGGCCTGCTGGCATATCCATGAGGGAGTGACCTTCACTGTGACATGATGGAGAAAGGCCCAGCCACTGTGGGTGGCACCATTCCCTGCGCAAGTGATCCTGGACTGTACATGAGAGCTAGCTCAGCATGAATCTGGGAGTGAGCTAGTAACAGGTTCCTGCTTGAGTTCCTGCCCTCACATCCCACAGGGATGAACTGTAGACTAACCCTTTCCTCCACTAAGTTGTTTTTGGTCATGGTATTTGGCACAGCAATAGAATGAAACTAGAAAAGAGGGTGACATAATGAACAGTCCAGAAAGCACCTCCAGCTGGAACAGCCCTTGACCCCAAAGGTCCTCACAGGACAGACACAGCATGTGGAACTTTCCCAATCCATCCCTGAAGCACCAGAGGACTCTAGACCTGATGAAGTGACTGCTCCCCATGGGAACATCTCAGATTTGCTTTGTAAATAAAAGCTCCCTCTCCTACTTTACATTTGAATCCATTACCCAGAGAGGCATGTGGGTGCTCTGAGGTAGAAATCAGGTGTCCCCACTGACATAAGGCTCTGCTGCACTCAGCCCAGCACTCCACACAGAACTCACCAGCTTCCAGAGGTTTTGTGCAGGCATGGAGATGTTATAGTCAACGTAGCAGGAGACTTCTTGAGTATGGGGACTCAGTGGGGCTGCAACATCGTGCCTGGAAGACAGAGCAGAGCTGCTCCTTCAAGGGTCCTTAAGGGGAAAAGCTGGCTCTGCCTGCTGAGGCTGGGGAAGCCTGCTGGAAAGGCAGCAACCAGAGGCCACACATCCAGCAATGTAGGCCACTCGAGCTGGCCTACATGACACAGCCTAGAGTCATCTGAGAACAGGGTCTCAACTGAGGGACTGCCCAGGTCAGACTGTCTTGTTGGCGTATCTATGAGAAACTGTCTTGACTTGTGTGTTTCCAGAGTTGATGTCAGACAATTGGATGGGTGCCATTCACTTTTTGAACAGATGAAGCAAATCTCAGAATCATCACAGGGACTGAAAGTATACGTCTAAGACCTGGTTCTGGTGTGGCACTGGCCTAGCAGAACTCAGAAAAGTAGTGCTGTCGGCCCTGGGCCAGCAAATGCAGAGTGGTCTCATGCCGGGAAAGCAGGCTGCTTTGTGTGGTTCAGCCTCAGGGTCCAGAAGCAGCCTGTTATCTGCAGTCTACTCAGGCAGGACTCAGATCATCACAGAATGCACCAGGCACCCCAAGAGGCCCAGCAGTGAGCAGTCTGCGCAGCCCTTGACAGCAACACGCCAGTGCTGTAGATGCTGGACTACTAGACAGAGCGAGTGTCAGAATAAAAAGTAAATCGGAGGGACAGTGCCCAGGCAGGGTTTCTGTTAAGGTGGCCTTAGGAACATCCAGCAGGAAGTGAGTGTGGAAGCCAAGCTGCTGTTTGCTTACTTCAGCACTAGCAGGGAGGCCAAGGGATAGGGGTGACACAAGTCAGGAGCCTCAGGAGGGCTGAGGGAGTCACTGGAGAGAGGACTGTGGGTAGAGACATGGTGAAGCCCACTGTGTACTCTCAAGGGCCCAGTGCGGCCATGGGAGTGAGATGGAGGCGGGAAGTCAGGATGAAGGACACAGGCTGTGGTTGGGGTGGAGGGTGTGAAACAGACCCCGACAGAGCAAGCACGGGGAACACTCACGTGTTGAGGAGGCGGGTGGTCATGCCGTGAACGAGCTGTACAATATCTCCATGTCGTACAGGCCTGGGAGGGTTGTTTACCACCAACTGGTGTCTAGGAAAACGGCAATGTCAGAGTGACACTCAGCCCTCTTACTACAAGCTCTCTTGTACAAGCTCTCTTGTACCTCTTACTACAAGCCTGGGATGCCAAGGCTTGTCCAAGACCTCCCTGCAAACACTGGGGAGTGCACGCCCCACAATGTATGTACCCTGAATGAAGTGGCTTTCTATAGAATCAAAGCACTTATGTTTCATTTAACTCTTCTCAACCTACGGTCTGTGACTCCAGTTGTCATTGTCACACTTGTCTATGAAGGATACACTAACTGCCCAAAACAAAACAAAACAAAAACAAAAACCTTATGTTGACAGCATAGAGCATACTCTTTTTTTTCATACCTCCAAAAAAAAAAAAAAAAAAATTCAGAGCCTATCAAGCTGGATGAGGTGAAGCACACCTGTAATCCCAGCACTCGGAAGGCTGAGGCAAGAGGATTGAGAGTTTGAGGCAAGGCTTGGCTGTAAGCAGAGATGCTGTCTCAAACAAACAAAACAGGAAAAAGACAAATAAAACACACCAAACTAATCAAACAGAAAAGGCACCCTAACCCTTAAAACTTCTCAAGTGTCCAGCACTGGACTAGTGCTAGGATGGACACAGGACAGCCGGGGGAGAAGTGAGAGGAGAGGAGGGCACACCTTTAGTTGGACTGGTCTTGGTGGCCTCCCCAAGGATCCAGCCTTCACTTTCCTGGCAATAAGGGTGAGTGCAGAGATGGCCGAGAGCCTGGCGATCATAAGGGTGCCACTGGAGTTTATGGGAGAAGTCTCTAGATTCTAGAGACCAAGGACACTCAGGAAGGTACGGATAGGAAAGTACTTAGTGTAAGGCCTCTTAGAGGCTGCCAATGCTGGAATGGGCATGAGAGATGGAAAATGAATGTTGGTAAAAAGGGGAGAATCTCATTTAAAGGCAGACTCCTTAGGTCTAGACACAGGATGAGTGCAGAGGGGCTCCCATAAGGCCCTCTTGAGGGAAGCAGGTGTAAAGAAGGACTCTGGAGCCACCTTGGACCCTGTTACAACTCCTAAGAGATGCTAAGGGAGGTCACTGAGGACCTGGACCAGGCCCTGGCCTCACCTTACAGGCTCACAACAGGTAATCCAGCTCCAAGGCTGAATGAGGTCACTGGCCAGGGAGCACTCATGAAAAGGAGGCCTAGGACTCAGCAGAAGGACCTGTCCAGTCATGCTGGGTGGTGAGCTCTCATGGAGCCACACTCACCTCCCAGGGTCCTTGATGATCCACCAGTTATTGATGTCTTTGAAGGGGTAACAGGTCACCTGTTGCTGGTGGGAGCTGCCACGGCCATTCTCATATCTGTGTGAGATGTCAACAAAGAAAGCACCTGAAGTGGGCAGCCGAGACCCACAGGCTGCTCCGTGCCCCCTAGATTTCTAGAGACCACGCAGCAGGACGTGTCACCCCACAATACAGAGTCTGTGTCCCATGAGCCAGAGAACATCGAAAAGACACTGCCAGGCAGAGCTGCTCAGAGGCCACTGGAGGGGGCATGGCCATGGCATTCCATAGCCCTCCCAGTGTTTCACAGTGGACACCCACAAAGTCATGAGCCTGGGCCTAGAGCCCTGTGACGCCGTCTCTCTAAACTCAGTCACAGCAAGTGACACCTCTTAGCATCAGCAAACTGGGAGAAAGCAAAACATTCTTGATTGCAAATTAAAATGGTCACTTTCCTTACATCATGGGATAGGTGTTCTGGTGGGAATGCAGCCAGCAGGGCAAGGGTTTGCCGAAGACGTTCCTCAGAGTGACCTGGGAGCCATAGGCCACCTCCAGGGGCTGGCCTTGGGTGATGCGGGCTAGCCCTCCCTAAGACAAACAGAAAAGGTCTCAGGTGAGCTCAAGAGACTAACCACCCTTCTAACCCGTGGATCCCAAGATGGAGAATGGTGTCAGGCTCAGTGGCATGTCCTTTACTGTGGAGCCAGCTCATCAGACCAAGACCATATAGTCTTATAATTAGTTGTGACTAACTCTCATAGACGTGGGTCCTACTGAACCACAAATCTGAGGTAGATGTGTGCTCTCTGGTCAGGTATTCAGGTGACCTTTCCACCACAGATTCCTTTTATAAGTTGTCTATCCTGGGAGAGGCAGGCAACTGTGTCTGAGAGCTGAGGAAGAGAGCAGGTGTGGCCATCAGCAGAGCCAGGGTACATGAGCAGGCCTGCTCAAGGCTGCACCCCTCACCAACCACACATGGTACATTTTAGAGGTCAGTACTCTTTATCTGAAAAATTGAAACCAGAACTGTTCCAGTTTGGGGGGACTCAGGGCCACCCACACTCGTGAAAGTCCAAAATGCAAAATGCTCTGCAATCTGCAGCTCTCAAGGTAACCTGGCGACCTGGACATGCCGACTGGAGGCTCAGCTGCGCATGTCTGCAGTTAGCGCAGTGCCCTCCAGGCCTGTCTAGCTCATGAGGCATTAATGCACAGCCAGGGTTCCAGAATTCCTTTAAAAGTAACAACACGGGCAGGGTGGCGGCGCCACACACCTTTAATCTCAGCGCTCGGGAGGCAGAGGCAGGCGGATCTTTATGTTCGAGGCCAGCCTGGTCTACAGAGGGAGTTCAGGACAGCCAGGGCTACACAGAGAAACCATTTCTTGAAAAAACGAAAACGAAAACCAAAACCCAACAACAACAAAAATCCCCAATATGGCTATCTCATGTTTTAAATTGTTTTATATATTTTAATTATTATTTATACAGTAGTCTGCCTGCATGTGTGTACTGCATGCCAAAAGAGGGCACCAGATCTCATATGATTGTGAGCCACCATGTTGTTGTTGGGGATTGAACTCAGGACTTTTCGAAGTACAGCCATCTTTCCAGCCTGGCTGTTTCATTTCTTGATCTTTCCTGCATAGCTCACTTGGCACTTCATTTTTAATCTATTTATCTACCTATTATCTACTCATTTATTTGGCTTTTTAAAACAAAGTCTTGCTATGGAGCCCAGGGTTGCCCTGACCTGTGGCAACCCGCCTCCCTCTTTCTTCTGAGGGATCCAAGTTCCACCAAGGCCGGATCTGACACTGCTTAGACAGAAACTGAGCCCGTGACCATCTTTGTTCTGAAGTAACCTGGACATCATGTTTCTTACCTCCAAGCTGGCTTGGAAGGCGCTGGACATAATTTGGTCGTGGGGCCCAGAGCGGTAGAGCAGCATTAAGTGGACATAGAAGAACAGTAAGTACAGGAGAACTGGGGTGATCACCAGAGCCACCACTCTGGCGAGTAAGTGACTGAACACGCGAATCTGCCAGGCGAAGAGAGGAAAGGTCTTCCGTCTGCAGAGCAGCATGACGTTTCCAGACGCTGCCTGCAGGCTTGGGGAAAGTCACTGAGAAGCGCTACCTCCCATGCAAACGCTCACAGGTGAGCTGGCCCTCTCCCACCTCTTCCTGAAGCTTTGAGGACCCACCTCTTGAAGCCAACTACTCCCTTGGACAGCTTCGCAACCCCAGCCCCAAGCACTCCAGGCTCCTGTGGCACTGGCACGACCACCTACGTTTGACAAGGTCTGATCTCCAATCAGGTTCCAGGCATGGACAGCTGCAATGCTGAGCACCAGCAAGTAGGTAAAGATGCCCATGTATTTAACTCTGAAAAAAGACAGATTTGAAATAAGGTTAGACGATAGACAGCCCGCAGACAAGAAGAGTACTGTCCAAGTCAGGGGCGCTGACTCACCCAACTGCACAGGAACAAGAGACTCCGGTCAGCATTAGCCACAGCCACCAGCGCAGCGAGAAAGGGCTATGGTAAAAACAGAAGAACAAGGAGGCATTTTCAAGCCAGGGACGGCATGTGCTTCTCTGAGCAGTCTTTAAGTTGGCCAGGCCTACTAGGCACAAGCCACAATAAAAAGAACCCCACTTTCCCGTGTGGGTCTCAGAAGAACTTTTCTTTTTGTCAAGAAAAAAAAAAATTTTTACTGTGGGTTACAGTTTAAAAAGGACGAAGTTATAAAACCGTGAGCTAAGGGACAACCTGAAGGATTAGGTAACCGAAAAGCATTCTGCAAGCAACTCCTCAAGGTAAAACGTACTAGATGTCCCCCAGAGCAAGGTGCAGTGTCCCCCTGGAACCCCTGGAGGCTGAGGAGGAGGGACGGCTGCCAGCTAGGGCTCCACGCCAGACCCTGTCTAAAACACAAAGGAAAAAAACCAATGTGGAATCCCTTTTCCTCCTAAGCAGAAAGGCCTGTCTCATTTTTCATACCTATGTGCTTGGGAGTTGAAGAACTTCAGATAGGACAGCATGGCCAGGAGATTAAAAAATATCAATATCGATTCCAACAACATGAGCCTGGACTGAGTGATCAGGGCATTTTCTGTCAAGAGAAAAACAGCTGTCAGGACTGAGCTGCAGAGGCTGCTATGAATACAGAGCCAGTCTGCAGGAGATGCAGACAGCCCTCTCTCCATAAGCGACTGGACGGAGAATCGCTCTGAGGATGCCAGTCCCCACCTATACTAAGATGGGTATTTTTGCATAAAGCCTCCACCTAGCTTGCTGTATATGTTAAGTCATTTCTGGTTTTCCTACAACCCTTAATACAAGGAAAATGGCAGTTACTTTACTGTCTTGTTAAGGGAACAAGAGAAAAAAACTTCCCTTAAGAGTTATTTATTTTACATATATGTATGTGTTCTGCCTACGTGTGTGTATGTGTATGTATGTATGTATGTATGTATGTATGTATGTATGTATGTATACCATGTAAGTGCGTGGTGCCTGTGGAAGTCAAAAGAGGGCATGAACTGGAGTTCTGCATGGTTATATGCCACCATTTGGAAGCTAGGAACTAAACTCAGGTCCTCTACAAGACCAGTAAACGCTCTTAACCTCTGAGCTACCTCCCCAGTCCCCAAGGGGGAAAAACAAAACAAACAAAACAAAAAAAAAAAACCCTTTACTTAGTTGGTGCAGAAAAAAGTTTTGAAAAAATTTTTGAGACAAACTTTCGATATTAGCCTAGGCTGACCTCAAATTAAGCTTCTACTGTCTCAGGATTCCAAGTGCTGGGATTACAGGCCCAGCAAGAACTATAATGGAATATTTTTGCTTTGCCACTGGGGATGAACCTAGGGCCTCATAAATGCTAGGCCAGTGCCCAATCACTGTGCTACATCCCCAACATGTATGTATATGTGTGTATACTTGTGTGAACGTGTGTGCCATCATGTGTCTATATGCCCTTGAACACTGTCTGGCAGCCCCCACCTTTAATATGCCATCATGGCCACACATCCACTTTGGAAAAGAGTTTGACCTCACAGTCCATCCATCCTACATCCAAGAGGGCAGCCCAGAAGCAGAGGCAATTCTGGAGTCTGGATGAAGCGGGTGTGTTCACTTGGGAGCACACTCATCACACCAGGTGCCACCTTCCTGTACTCTGGCAGGCAGGCAGGGACCCCAGGCTTACCAATGAGCATCAACAGGGCAGCTCCCATGGCAGTGCAGTGGGAGAAGTGGAGCTCCAGCACTATCTGATAGGCCATGGGTACCGACAGGGCACCGGCAAGGGCTGGCAGCAGGCGCAAGGACCACACAGGCACGTTGCTACTGTATTCTGGAAAGGGAGTGACAAGGCAGAGCTGAGCGCATGCATAGTGACATTCGGCAGCTCACAGACTCTGAAATGCGACTTTATAAAACTGGGAGGCATATGAACAACTGCGGGTACAAACTTGGGGTAAAGGCTTAAAACCAGCTTTGGAATTTTTGTGATGGGTGGTTTTTAGAGACAGGGCCTCACCAATGGGTATGGTGATGTACACTGTAAATCCCAACACTTGACAGGCAGAGGTAGGAGGATAGCTGTGATGTGAGCTCGAGGTCAGCCTGGTCTATATAGTGGGCTCCAAGCCAGCCAAAACTACCTTGTGAGACCCTGTCTCAGGGAACAAAAACAGTTAGGGTCTCAAACTCCTGAGTTCAAGTGATCTGCCTGCCTCAGTTTCCCTGAGTAGCTAGGACTAAACATAAACTACCACATACCCAAACTGCTTTGAAATAGGCTTCGCAGTCAAAGGACCAGCTCTCACCAAGCATAGGAATGATGAGTAAAGATTCTGAAGTTAATGGTGACTTAGTATATTTACCCCAAGAAGCTCTGAACATGTTGTGGCCATATACAAAGTTTATAAATATAAAATACAGTGGCTATCAAATACCACAGGATACATGTACCAAGAGCCAGGGACAAAATAATTATAATCACAAAACACAACTTTTTAACCAGATTTTTCCTTCTTTTTAATTTTTATTTATATATTTTATATATATAAATATATATATTTTTGTTTTTTTTTTTGTTTTGTCTGTATATATGACTGTATATGCCTGGCCAAAAGATGGTGTCAAAGCCCAGGACCTGGAGTTACAGACAGTAGTGAACCACGATGTGGGTGCTGGAAATCAAATCCCAGTCCTCTGGAAGAAGAATCATCTTTCCAGCCCCTTTAACCAGAGTTTTCAAAAGATGTTCACTTATACCCAAATAACCAATTATAACGCGGTTCAGATTAGCAAAAGGCAACTGTTGGTTCTTATGAAAGGCATCATGCCACCATTTTCTCATGTGCAGATTAATATGGAAAGTTAAAATGCTTACCTGCTCCAATTCGGTTCCATAAAAAGTTACCGTCAAATCCTCCTAAATAACCTAAAACAAAAAATTTGAAATATGGACCAAACAAGGTAAGAAAACTAGACATGATTTCTGCCCCTGAGAAAATTTAATTGATAAGTGTAATATATTTCTGGGCCTGAAAGGAAATGGCTGTTTCTCTTACCTACCTCCTAAGGCCAGTAGCATGTGGCCAAATGGTGGTCCACTGTCATCCAGAAAGAAGATGCGCTTCATGTAAAAGGAAATGTACTGCCCATAATACACCTCATCAAAACTACAAACAAACACAAAAACCCAGATCCTTAACAGTTATTTAAGCTTTAAAAAAGTATTGATTTTTTGTGTATGAGTATTTCGCCTGCATGCATGTCTGTATACCACATAGGTGCAGTGCCCACAGAAGGCAGAAGAGGGCATCAGAGCCTCTGGAACTGGAGTTAGAGGCAGCTGTGAGGCCCAAGGAGATGCTGGAAACTGAACCCTGTCCTTTGCAAGAGCTGCCAGTGCTCCTAACTGCTGAACCACATGTCCAGACCCTAGATATCTTAATTGTAAACAAAGGCAGGAGAATAAAACCTCATGTTTCCAGCTGACTTCAGTGAAGAGCCAGCGTCAGATCCTTTGCTCCAACTGTGTTCTGACCCCCAACACTAAGATATATACAGCATCATTTAACCTACAGGAGCATGGCGGGAAACTCCCCAGGCCCAGTGTGTGCTCGGGATGCCTGCCCTGCGCAGAGCCTATTTCTTTCTCTAGATTTTTCTTCCTTGCATGTATGTATGTGATACACAGGCAGTTATGTGTATGCATGTTCATGTGTGTAAGGATACATATGTGCATGGGGGCTCATACCTGTGTGTGCACATGCATGTATGCAGGCTCAAGGTTGATATCCAATGTGTTCCTGGATCACTCTTCACTTTACCTATTGAGACAGGGTCTCTCATTCTGGTCCTCACACGTGTCTGGCAAGTGCTTTAGCTACTGAGCATTTCGCCAGCCCTCCCACAGCTTTTGATTTGGGCATGCACTGCCCAAGCCACCGAACAGCCTCATGAGTCTTGAGGCTAATCCCACCTCACACTCTCACCAACCACTAGGACATACCTACAGCTTCAATGTGGGGGAGAACTGGAGATCTGATGAAAGGGCTGCAAACATGAAAGCGAAAGCGAGAGAGGCACTAAAGTGTTTTCGGGTAAGGAGAGACTGATGATGTCAGTTCTTAGACATGACAACGCTACCATGGTTATGTGATTTTTGTGTTAGAGAATCCTCTTCTCAGGGCTGGAGAGATGGCTCAGTGGTTGAGGCTTGTGCTGCTTTTGTGGACACAAGCTTTTGTTTCCCAGCACTCAAGCCAGGTAGCTCTCAAAGACCTGTATCTTCAGCTCCAGAAGATCTGACAACCTCCTCTGGGTTTGAAGACACATGCACACAGACAGATATATAGACAAACAGAAACACACACACACACACACACACACACACACACACTATTAAAAATAATTTTCACCCTCCAGAAGTATATACTGAATTAATCATAAATGAAATATAATATCTTAGGATTTGATTCAAACTAATCTACTATAAGGGGGCTATTGACGCCAGGTAATTGACAGATGGATGATTATTCTATTTGTGTATATATTTAACATCTATAACAAAACAGAATGCCTATATTAGTTAATAAACACCCTTTCAATAATAACAGTATGTTTCCCCTTATGAACAAAACCAGGTTCCCTTCCAAATCACCAAACCTCTGTTTCAACTTTAGAAGGAAAATTAAGGCCAGAAACTACAATTTCTTCCCCTGACAGACCACACCTTTTTTACTACAGTCCTACTGAACAAGACCTAAAAGGTACACACTACAGGGGCTGTTCTGGGGGACAAACAGGTCCCACAACCATACTGCTGGTGCTGGCTACTCTTGGTAGTCACCCTGGCTACACACGTGGAATGAACTACAATCCAGAAACTGAGGGCACACCTGTGAGAGGTCTTTTGCTTGCTTTGAGGTGGGTGAGCCCACTTCTAGTCTGGCCCTTGGAGATGGGAAGATGCCTTTAATCTGGACCATACATTCTGCTGGAAGTCTATTTAAGGACACCGAAGGAGGAAGCTTTTGCTCTTTGCCTGCTTGCCCTCGCCTTGCTAGCACATCCATGCCTCCACAGACATTACAGCCTGCTTCTCTGGGAATCCAGTGTATGCTGAAGACCAGCTGAGATACTCAGCTTTGTGGATCAAGCAACTACTGCATTCTTGAACTTTCATTCACAGCCAGCTATGGTTGGATTAGCTGGCCTGAAGCCTATAGGCTATTCCAGTAAATCACACACACACAGTCATTCTATACGCTGTAGCTATAGAAAACCCTGAGCAACACACTGCTAAAACATCCACCAAGAGGCCTGGATGCCCATAATTCCTCTCCCCTTTTCAATGTATTCATAATGAGGTTCTTCAGATCACTAAGTACGATGCCTCTCGGATCGTACACCCTCCTCCCATCTCTACTTACACCACAGCCCGAGGGTAGGCCAGTTGCCAGAGTCGGGAGAGCAGTCCCAGGCCAGTCAGGGCCACCAAGTTCAAATTGATCTCAGCAGTCACCACCAGAGGCCGCTTCAAAAATCTCAACATTTTGCAGAAAAAGCTTGGGAGGACACCCTGGAAAAGAGGGGTCGAACTACCATTAAAAGTAAATGGATAGCAGCGAGGAAAGATTCAAGGACCCTAAAGCAGCCTGGCCCCGCGATGCACCCAGGGAGAATTACAGCCTAGTGGGTTAATAAAGTCAGAAGGACTCTTCCAGAACATACCTGTTGGAGAATTACTGTTGTGTTCAAGCATAGGGTCCCCACAAAAACATTTGAGGGATGGACTCAGCAATCTCAGAACTGGACGTTCACGCATTTCTACAAGTCATTCTGTAAACACTTGCCGGCATTTGCTAGCAGCACCGCTGCTAACGAATGATGTGGCCTCTCCTGTGCCTTCCTAGTGTGGCTGAAAACTAACCCCTACTCTGGTGAGCTCTGGGTACCGTCACAGTTCAGTGACCTGGATAGACCTTCCTTCCCGTCGTCTCCCGGGGACACGCCTCTGCTCCCAGAGTTGACCCGCGCCCCTTCTTTCTTTACGGCTCTGCCCACCCCAGCTTTTCCATCTGGAGGCCGCCCCGGAACCTCCCATCTCAGGCAGGACCGGAACATCCACCGACCCTAGCGCGTCGCCCCCGAGCCGGATCCCAGAGCCCCAGCAGAGCTCCCGAATCTGACACTCCAAAACCTACTAGTGTTTCTCCGAGAGCCGCCGAGCCTCTCCCCATGTGGAGACACGCCTGCGAACCGCCTGGCTGGCTCGACCGTTGGGGGCGAGGCCGCTAGGTAATCCGCACCGCCCACCGATCGACGCTCAACTAGTTGTTCCTGCGCGGGCTCCTCAGTCAGCGGCGCGCGTGCGCGGCAGGAGCACGGAGGTAAGCGGCGCGCGTGCGCAGCGGGGTCAGCTGGCGAGAGTGTGGGAGGCGCCTCCGTCGTTGCCTGAGCGGGCCTAAGTGCTCCTTTCTTTCTCAGCTCTCCGCAGCAGCGTCCCGGACTCACTATGTAGCCGACGATAGCCTTGAATTTCTGATTCTACTGCCGCTGTCTCTCCAGCACGGATAAGACAAGCATACCTGTTTAGGGGGGTTCTCGGGATCAAATCAGGCCCTCACGCTTAGCCGACGGGCCCTGCCTTTACCGACTGAACTATCAACCCCAGATCGAGAACCGGGCGTCTTTTGTTTTGCTAAAATTCATTTTTTGACAAGTTAGTTCAGCATTGGATGACATCCGCTTGAGACTGTAGCAAAGGGTGCTGAAGGTCGCCCAGTCGTTAAGAACACTGATGGCTCTTGAAGAGGACCTTGGTTTGATTCCCAGCGCCCACATGATAGCTCACAGCCGTCTGTACCTGCAGTGCCAGTGCCAGGGGATCAGACAGAGGGTGGCCCTTCAGGCACTGGGCAGGCACACATAAAATAATTAACTGAAGAATGCAGGGAATTATTCCTAGCTTATCCATGACAGTGTTCTGCTCAAGTTCATGCGGAGAAAGGGCGCTGGAACTTTGCAGAGTGAGTTCTTTGGGCCCCAGAAACGAAGGCTGAGCCTGTAAGCCATGTTGGTGCTCCAGGACAGCCAGTAGGCACTCAGCCTCAGGAGGCCCTTGTCCTGCCTGCAGGACCCCTGAGCTATGGATATGGCTATAAAAGGTGACAGATGCTACTGTCCAGATCCCTCCCTGTCCTTGTTTTTTTTTTTTTCTTTTTGAGACAAGGTCTATGTAATGCTGAGTGGCCTAGAACTCACTATGCTCACCAGTGACTGCTGAATACACACCACCCCACTTCAGTGGATACGGTTAACAAATGACATTTAGTAAATAAGAAGCTTGTGTCTGAGAGCCACAGTCCTGTATCAAGGTCACACACCTGGGTGATGGCACAGTCAAGTAGAACTGCCTGAACCCATCAGAATCCCTTTTACCCTTTCTAGCCCCAGGCCTAGCTTACTCTTTCACAGAAGTACAGTGCAGTCTTTTGTAGCTTGTCTTTGCTACTTTGTGGGTTCTTTTCCCCACCCTTTGTCCCCCACAGCCTTGGTTTCACCCTCTAACATTAGACAAGAGAGAAAGAAGGATAAAGGGGGAGGGGGGCTGAATCTAATTTCTTTCCCAGCTATTCCTTCCAGTTTCCAGCCCAGCCCCTTCAAACGTTTCTTGCAACCATTCTTCCCTTAGTTTCCCTACAGTCTGCTTGAACAGTCCCTTCTCCCAGTTTTCCCATTACTACAGATCCAAACTATGACAGCTGTTCTAGCTATCTGCTCAGCTCAGCTTCTGGCTCAACTGTCTCCTAACAATGTCTTCTGCCCCAGCTGCCTTCTCCTCTCACTCAGTCCCTGTTGTGTCCTGTTTTTGGACAACCTGCATGGGCTATGGTTGTTCTGGATGACATTTTTCAATACCTTCCCTAGAAACAGCTTCCATTTCACCTCTTATTGGGACTGTCTCTGGTATTCAGGTAATATTAATCCGAGTTTCCCATTGCTGTAATAAATCTTATCATCATAAATTTATGGCTACATCAGCCACATAAGGCCTTCACTTTCCTATTTGACCTTCTGGTCCCACACATTTAAGCCATTGCACACTTATCTGAGATAACTTTCCAGTTCCTCGAAGCTGGATATAAATCTTTTGAAGTGGCCATTCTGAATTCCAATATTTTTTGTGACGTGATAGTTAAATCAGCTCCTGTAACCACCCAATCTTTTATTTCAATGTCATTCACTTGCAACCTTAATTTTGTCCTCTGATCATTAACCACTGTTTGCCAGAACACACATTTACCAGTACTTCTAAACCTCCCATTCTTTCTACTGGAGCAGCTTTGCCTTTAATACATGTAATAGCTGAGCAATCCTACAACTGTTGATATGCATATTTTTATATAAGCCATTATTTTAGTTTCTCCTTTGAAATATTTTTTAAAGTTTGTCTTTTTTATTTAACTTTTTTTTTATGTGCATTAGTGTGAAGGTATCAGATCCCTTGGAATTGGCATTACAGACAAATGTAAGCTGCCATGTGGGTGCTAGGAATTGAATCCAGGTCCTTTGGAACAGCAGACAGTGCTCTTAACCATTGAGCCATCTCTCCAGCCCCTCCTTTGAAATATTAATCTATAATTCCTGGATGCCCAATGAATCCTTTTGAAGTAAGGAGTAAACTGCTTCTTCCCAAAACCATTGTCTCTGAGGGCAAAGAACCATAAGCTCAAGTAGATATTTTATAACATTAAATTTTTGGAAATAGATTAAGATGTGTATCTATGGCCAGGCCTAGGGCAGCACAGCCTGTAGTAGCATGCATTAGATCTGCAATATTTTGTTTTGTTTTGCCTACTTGTTATTTCCTGGCTGACAAAAGGCAAACAAGAGGCTCATACTTTTTGCTGCAGGGCTTCAAACTAGTCCCTACCCCCCACTTCGTTTCTCACTGAAAGAAATTGTCTTGGATAGCTTGCTTGGACCTACGCTCATCGGTCCAATGGCCACATTGCCTGCACACCCCTAGAAGCCTAGGTCTTCTTTCTGGTTTATATTTAGAAAAAACATTGTCCTTAGAGATGCCTTGTTCACAATTTTGTTGCAAATGACCATATTTCCCACAACTAAAGCACTGGGCATTTTCAGAAGAGGGCTTTAGTGGCTTGGTCACAGTCTCTTTGCAAATGACCATATCTTCCACAGTTAAAGCACCATGCATTTTGAGTTGTAAAACCTTTAGCTATGGCTTGCCCAATTCCTGTGACATTATACACGCCAGAATCAATCTCAGTTGTCTCCCTGAGCAACGCTTCCATAGGTACTGTCCTTGCCTTTAATGGCCTAATTACCTTTTTGTATTTCATATTTAAATTTTCAAATACTAATGTCTCAATTAGCACTTGTTTCAAATCAGAGCCAGAAATTGGCCTTATTCACTGCAGAGACCAATCTTTGAAAAGAAAGAAAGAAAGAAAGAAAGAAAGAAAGAAAGAAAGAAAGAAAGAAAGAAAGAAAGAAAGAAAGAAAGAAAGATCGAAGGCTTCTCTAGAGCCTTTTCGTAAATGATGTGGACTTCTTTCCTGGCTCAACTTTGTCCTAAGCTTTTAAAAGCTGCTAAATGACATAGTTCTAAGATTGTTTTCAATCTGGGGAAGTTCCCACTTTCTGGTTCCTTTACTGGGAATGAACCTGTTTGTTATTCCTTGGTGTTTTTCTTCTGCTTTTTGATTCCCAAGATTCTCTATATCCACTTATATTTTTTTTCCAGTTGCTCAGCCAGTTTCTCAACTTTTTTATAAACAAAATTGCCCAAAATAAAACGGAGAAAAAAAAAATTCTGATGAAAACCATGGGGTGCACATCCCAACAGTACCGGCAAACACCCTGTCTGCTTTTTGAAACAAAAGTACCCATCACTCCTTTTCCAGCTTTTTGCTCTATGGTACTTGAAGTCAAACCTCCCATTCTGCCTGGCCCCATGTTGGGTGCCAAGCCTCCTCTAGTTCCTGTAGCTATCAAGATAGGACTCAGGCAGGGAAGTACGGGATGCACACGGGTTAGCTGACGGGAACAGGACAGATCTTGGTACTGCCCATTTTCAAGATGCATACACCTTAACCTCAGCCCCTGTGCTGTGGTTGGGGGTCCCTCAGACCCAGGGAAAAGAAATTCCCACACAGGCCAACTAATGTTCTCGAATACACATTAATTTGTATAGTCTGCAATCCCTTCCTAGAGACACTGGACTGCCATGTGCCGTAGTCTCTGCTTAATTGCTCATGTGAGACCTCGCTACACCCCACCCCCAAGCCTTCTTCCCTCTTCATTGGGGACATGTTTAGAACCCATCTTACAGTTTATGGGAGACAAGGAAGTGAAAGCCTTACACAAGAGTGCCACAGATACTGCCATCGTGCTTAGAAGCTGTTTTCTGAAGATCCTGCCTGGTTGACTTGTCTCCTTGGGGACCCTACCACAGCGCTCCACTCAGCGAAGACATTTCAGCCACTCCCAACTACCTCGTAAACTGTGAAACAGAACCCTCACATCTTCCCAAAGACTGAGAAACAAACCTGACGCAACCTGAGAAAGCATGTTTGGCTTTATTTTTTTTATACTTTTTTTTTATTTAAATAAGGAGAGTTCTTTCGTATGGAAAGAGCTAGTACAATCACATATTTGAAAGGAGAAACAACAGGGACTGAACCGGAGGGAAGGGAGGGTGAATTCACGATTCCATTTCCCATCCGAGGTAAGAGGTTCCCCAAATCACGTCTAAACAAGCTGCACAGTACACCTTTAGCATCGTCTGCCCCTTCAAATATCTGGTCTAAGTGAAAAGACAGAGGAAAGGCCAAAATAAAAGCAAAAGGAAACAAAATGACTCAAAAAGAAACCCCCCGAATCCTTTTCTACAAAAGGTATGAGGTTGAAAGCTGAGGGCACAGGACCCCTTTCAACTGAGGAGCATTACACAGAGCCTTCACAGCAATTGCTGCTCCAGGATTGTGACATGCTGAAGATGGGGCCTGGGGGTGTTGCAGGTCTGGAGCAGGCAACTGGGAGCTGCAGGTGTCATGCGCCTGGAAGATCACCAGCCAGAGCTGGTGGGCCTAGTGGGGAAGCACAGCTGGGTGCTCATCCCCAACACCGAGCCACTCTATTCCAAACGACCTAGCTTGTCTTTTAGCCATCTCACAGGAGAGAGCTGGCTTTCTGGAAGTCTACATTTCCCACTCATCAAAGTATACAACAGAAGACGCACTTTTGCGCCCTTGGTTGTAAAAGATTCCCAACAGACCCTCTCACTTAGACTTGCATTGTTGGAAACGAGGGTCAAACGGACCTGGAAGGCAACATGCAGGTGCCTGTGCAGAGGGGAACCCAACAGATGTTGGGGGGTGGGCTTAGTCGGAGTTGCCTCATGGCCTCAGGGGACACACTCCTGTGCCCTGGGCTCTGAGTATCAATCATTCACAACTTCATCACTGACCATCTGGAAGGTGGCTCCAGAGGACAGGAGAGCAAAGTTGATTTTGATACGTAATCCAAAGTATCTCTGGAAGCAGAGCGACCACAGCTTTGGAAATGAACCAACTTTTCTGAATGTGTAATGCAATCATTCTTGTTTCCCCCCCTTAAGGAATCTTAGACCCAGAAGTGTTCTGTGAACTCTGAATTTGAAAATGGTAAACTTGGGAATAAGACAAGGAAAGCAACTGTTCAGAAACCAGACTTAATGCAGCTTGCAGAAGTCTTTAGCCAATAGATGGTGCGTGCTGAACGTACCATCAGGACTGACAGTACTCAAAGAGTCCCTAGTTTCCAAACCATGGACTGCACCATCAGTGGCCCCAACAAAGCCACTAGCAGTAGGAGGTGACTTCTGTAGGCAGGACTAAAAGATTCTGCCCCACCTCCACCCATCTCAGCAGTAGAAAAGGTAGGTGCTGGGTTTTATTTGTTCCCACCAAAGGCCATGGCACCTTGACAGACACTCCTGTGTTTTTATCTGTGATCTGAAGATGTGGGTTTGAAACCAAAATAAGACCCCAAGTACTAGTACACTTCGAGCCTGACTCTAAAAACCACATGAAGAGATATTGCACGTTTTAAACATCTCTGCACTAAAACTTGGCTTGACCAGATCATCTGAGGGGCAGGGGTATCTGGCCTGAAGCTTGCCCTCTACTCCCAGAGTCTAGTTGCAAATGTGCATCTCAGAGGGGTAGAGCCCACAGCTGAGGTCACAGATGTGCTGAGCACACCAAACGCCACATGCAATTTCCTGGCCTTTCCTGCACAGAGTAATTCAGACATTATATAAACAGAGCAGTGGGACATTTACTTTTTTTTTTTTTTTCCATCTAGACCTACAACATCAATACATATAAATAAATTCTAGTGTTTCTTGTTTTTATTTAGGGTGGGAGGCAGGAGGGAAATACAGGGTGAGAGAAAGGACTGAAAATAGGTGACCTAATTTTTCTTCTCAAACAGGAAGTACTGCCATTCTGACAGCAGGTTCACCTAAAGGGCACATTTTGAGTTTGTAACAGCATTCTGTGAAATTCTGAAGGAGAAAATGTTTGTTTCTTTTGACACATATGCCCACCAAGCATTAGGTGAGATGGGTCTGACCGCATTTCTAAAGAGGATAGGTAGAGGTGACTGTGTGTGGCTTTTTCTGACTGAGACGCAACAGGGTAGAGGTTGGCAGTGGGGCAGAGGACTCAATCACTGGGACAGTAGCCAGACACTTCTAGGGTGAGTAGAACAGCAGATGAGGGACACAGGGACTCTCTAAGTGGGCAGTGCTTTTGAGGAAGGATGTAAGAGAAGATGGGACAAAGACAAGTGAATTAGGTGGGGGGCAGAGGCTTCAGAAGGGAGAGGAGCGGAGTGCTGCAGTCGACAGGAAGCTTTCCACTAAGACTGCTCTGCCGGGTGACCCTGGGGACAGTGTGGCACTACCTGCTGGGAGAGTGGACTTCTGCTTCCTTCGAACAACCAACAAGTCAGCACTAAACCCCTTCAAAGCTAACACGCTGCTTCTCTGCTCTGACACCCATGGTGACACTGAGGACACAGGCTTGTCCCAGCCCTGCCACCAACTGTGAGCTCTGAGGCAGGTGGCCTCCAATATCCCCAGGTGGGTGATTAATTGGGGATCCTAAAGAGCAGCTGAGCAAACTGAAATTCATCCTTCACTTTCCTTTGAGTGAAAGCAAGAAGCCTAGCATACAGGAGCTCACACAAAACCCGCAAGGAACAGTTCTAAGACCATCCTTTCAGGGAGGCTGCACAGGCTTCTCTGTAGGCCACTTATACTTTGACCCTGCCCTGTTCCCTAAGGATGAGTAAACATACCTGCTACTCGGCAACCCTACTGTCAACACCTTGCTCTTGATGCTAGGAGTGAAGGACATAAGATGAGTGTGCCATAGCCTGTCTTGTTGCAAGCTTGACTAATGGGTCCCCATCTATGTCCCTTATATTGATTTTGGTGATAAGCTGTGAGAGATGGATGAACATGGAGGGATCCAGAGGGATCCAGTAGGGTCCAGAAAGAAGAGAAAAGGAAATGAGTGGGGAATACAGCCACCCAGAGTGCTAGGGCATGGAGCCTCAGATGCACAGTCCCTAAGTGGGGGCCTGTGGCCTGGCCACCTCAGCCAATCTGAAGAACAATGGTGACTGTACCTCCACAATTCATCTGGTGCCCAGTACTCACCAACAGCAGAAAGGCCCAGATAATTCTTAGGCTGAAACACTGGCTCCAGGTCAAGGGCTAGAACTGAACTCAGACACCAACCTCATGGTGCCCAAGACAGTGAGGGGACAACCAGACGGTCTAGTCATGTCCTCAATAACCCCAAAGGTTAGCCAACTGTGTGTCTGTGTGTGTGTGTGTGTGTGTGTGTGTGTGTGTGTGTGTGTGTTCGTGTGTGACTCTAGAGAATCACCTCTTAAGGTAGTGCTGTGACATGTCAAACAGGACAGAGATAAAGGAGACCACTGGGGATAGCAGAGCAGAGAGAGGACAGCAAGGAACGTATAAAAGTTCAGCTCTACAGACGTAGCTAGCATCTTGTTCTCCTTTCCTCTTTGTAAAAACCTTAGCTGCTTTTTAAAACAAAAACCCTCCAGCTAAAATGACCCTGCTGCCAAACCACTGCGCCTGGGGTACGGGGCGGGCGGGCAGGTCTGCACTGCACAGGAGGCTCACTGCACAGTCACCGGGCAGAGGGGCGGGAGGAGGGAGTCTGCTCTTTTGTACCAAAGCAAGCAGGTCAATGCCATATATCCACGATGCGGGCTGCCTGACGATGGAGCTTTCAGGAGCTTTCGGGAGTGGAAGAGAGCTCTGTCCAGGCCAGGTGGTAGGACAGTGGAATGGCGGATCTGGCAAGGTCCCAGGTGGTGGCTGTCCAGGCTGGCGATTGTGCACCATCCCTGTTAGGGTGAGGCAAGAGATGCCAGGCACCTTTAGGGTTTACTCTCTTCCCTTCAGGCTTTACTCTCCTCCACCTTGACTGCCCGAGGCTTGATTGCTCCCGTTCGCTTCAGCTGGGAGGTGGCTGAAGATGCTTCCTGCAGCTTCACGGTTCCCAGGCCAGGTTTTTCATCCACTCGCTTTGCCTTTGGACAGATGGACAGGAAATCAAAGTGACTGCAGGCCAAAATGTGTACAGACCATTCCCTTTCTGTTCCTGAGTCAGACCAAAAGCTACCCTCAGAAGACCAGGGAGGAGCCTGGTGCATAGCCACAACTGCCCTGTCACTCCCACAGACACCGAGTGCAGTGATTCAGCGAGGCAGCCAGGCTGTGGGTCCTCTACAGAGAATTCAGCACTACTACATCCTGGGTGAAGCATTTCAGGTCCCAAGGCTGATAGGAAGAGCCTTTTCAAATCAGTGCAGCCTGTGTCCCACTGGCAAGCCAACAGCCCTTCAGCAGACCAATCTCTCCTATGGCCCTAGATACCCACCCATCGTAGAGGGTGGTGCCCACTTGGGTCTCCCAGATCTTGGCCCATGACTCAGTCAAGCACCCATCCAAAGTGCCTCTAAATAATTGCATTTCCCCAGGAGCCCATCTGATCCCAATCAGGGTTCTGCTAGCCCGCAGCTCTGCACCAGGCCAGCACATGGTGACCAGTGTGGTTCTGCTCCTCACTTGGTCTATATTCTGGGGGAATCTTTGTTAGGTGACTTTTCTTGTCAGCTGAGGATGGAATCCAGGGCCTCACACATGCTAGACAGGTGCTCTGCCCCTGAGTTATGCCCTAAGCTCTGGGAGAAAGGGTTAGAAACCCATCCCGTGGCAGGAACAGTGACCCCCAAGGAACACTGTGGAAAGGGGGCAAAAAGAGAGCCATCACCCTCACAATCGCCACCTGCCAGTGAGTGACAAATTTATTTAGCCCCAGGCCCAACTGAGGTCCTGAGCTCTGGAGCAGCAGCTCAGCCTTATAGGAAGAAGAGAAAAGGGCCTCCAGGGAAAGACACAGAAATCCTCGCTGTCAAGTGGGAGAAGCTATCCCCTAGCTATGATCCCACCCAGGCAGACAGAGACATGCCACAACACTCACTAGAGCTAGCACACACACACCCCAGCCTCTGAGCTAACCCAGGCCTAACTGTGTCTCCTAGAGCGCCATGACAGCCCCAAATGGCTGGGGATAGTACACCTTCTGGAATCACCTCTTGTGGGAACCAGTCTCCTCCCTTCTCTGCAGGACAAGGAAGGATCCAAACACCCATCAAGAGAAGTGCTTTTGTCAGAAGCAGCTCAGGTGGTCCAGCTCTAAGCACTAACATGTTTTCTTTAATAAAAAGCATCCTTAGTTGGACAATTCCCTCTCCTCTGGCGCTGGGAGACAGGCCTAAGTGTCCAGGGCTGCAGGGTGTGGAAAGCCATCTTCTACCTGTTGAACGTAGTGTCCCTGCACAGAGCCCATGTTAACTGCTGATCCAGAGGCCTTCCCACTGGGGCTAGCAGAGCTAGGCCTGAAAAAACCAAAGGCAGGGTTGAGAATACACATGTGTCACCACAGAGATGGAGTCAAAGCCTAGCAGCACACGGAGGCAGCCTGAGCCAGGGAGGGCCCTCTGGCCAGAGGCCCTGGCAGACAGAGAACACAGAACTGAGACAGCCAAGAGTGCAAATGCGGAGGAGCGTGGTCACTAGTGGCCCTTAGCACTTCTAGGAGACACCAGGAGAGGAGCTGCAGCCCTTGCTGTGAACATAGTGGCCATCCTCAGGCTCTGGAGCATCTGGACCTGGGTGAGGCAGCACCCAGATGAAGGCCTGCGACTAGCGCTAAGGAACTATACCAAGGGTTTTCTCATCTTCCCTTGTGGGGGAAGGGGAGAAATCTACCCCCGATTTTAGTCCCAGGGCCATTAGATGTTTCAGAAGAAGGTTTTGTCAGAAAGTACTATGTAGAGGTCAGCGACTCTTAGGTGTGGGGCTGCGTAGGGCTAGCTACCACCACACCCTAAAAGACATCTTGGGGACAGCACATCCCTGGAATTTATGACGGAGGACTCCTTTTTGCAAGTCATGGTTCACCTGCCCCATTTCCTGAAAATCTTGGGGAACTATACTGTACGAAACTCATAGCAATCTCTCTAATCACTATGATGCCTGTGCTTTCTACACCCGGCAGCCCCTCCATCTCTTCTCATTGTCCCAGGACCTCACAGATAACCAATCACCGAGGCTCAAACCCCTCATAGAAAGTTAACACAGTAGTTATGTGACCTAGCCATGTTCTCCAGTATGGCCTATGTGTGTATGTATGTATGTATGGTTCTGGGTATGGAGCCACGGACCTCATGAGTTTAAGTACTCAAGTACTCGCTACACTGCCCTGCACTCCAGGCTCTCTCTCTATACTTTAAAATCCTCTTCAGACTGTTTACAAACACTAGGTAGATAGTAGCTACACTGTATTGCTTAGGAATGATAACAAGAAACTGTTTTTGGTCCCTTCACATTCCCAAATCTTTTCAATCTGTGGACAGAGTGCCAAACAGTTTCTTCCAAGACTGTTTCCCTCCCTATAATCGACTGAGGCCAGGCTACTGCAATGACACCGGGCAGGCAGGACTGTGGTGTGTGCTCCTCCTTGAAGCTACCTCCTTCTCCCACCACCTTCCCCCACATACACACTGCGCTGTGCTGCCCTCCACACAGCTCTGCTTGATGGCCCTTCTGCCAGGTAACAGAAGCAAAATAAGATGTACTCATGCACAAACAAGAGCAATGACAGCGACAGCACAAAATAAGAGGAACTGAGTGGTTTTCACGAATGCTCTCTTTAGGAAAGTGACATGAGGGAAAGGATGGAGGGAGCTCCAGCTGAGCACACCAGGTCAAAGGTCAGAGTGAAAGTGGGACAGAGATGGCAGGACTCTAGTGCTGACTGTGCTGCCGGGTGACCTCTAAAAAGACACTGCAGATCTGTCCTACTAAAAAGACAAGGTATCGGGGCAAACACTCCTTCAGGCCCAGGCCTAGGGTGGGGGACCAAGAGCCCCTGCCACAATCCAACAAATACCTCTGAATCAAGCCAAGGAGAACCAGGCTCTACTGGAGGTAGAGAACCCACACCAGGGAAGCAAACAGCAGGTACCAGTTTGTGGTTTGGAAAGAGAGGCCACTCACACCCACCTTTAAAAAATTCTCTGATAGGGGTCAGAGGGTGTGTTTGGATAGAAGAGTTTGTGGGGCTGTGGCTGACACCCCAGAAAGCTCCCTCACTCCTTAGAGCATCTTACTCTGCAGGCTAGAAACAAATGGAATTTTCCTGGGACTCTCCCACAGCCAACTGAAGCACAAGCAAGTTCTAGGAACTCTTCGGTGACACCCAAGAGTACAAAAGGGGGCATGCTGCAGTGCCCTTCCTGCCTTTCTCCCTGGGCCCACGGGCTTGTTGGAGTGACTTAATTTTCAGCAATGACCCCTAACCCCCAGGGCTCATCTTTACCTGTACGCCTGCGGGGATGGTGCGGAGCCTCCGGTAGGAACATTCTGTTTACTGTCGGCAAAGTGGAAGCCTTTCAGCTCCATCGGAGCGGACTAGGGGCCCAAGAAGTACAGAGTTACTCGGCAGCCCAGACAACCTAGCCCACAGTAGCCCACCCAGCTCAAGGGGAGGGCTGATTCCAGAGACTGTGCTCCACTCCATAGCCAAGGCTGTCCTCAAACACTTTCTGAGTGTCACAAGTCTAAGTGTGTAAGAGAGTACAAGGACTCTTGCCTTGAAAGAAGAGCAGGAGGGGTAACTGCACAACCATGGGGGACTGGCTACTCTGTGGACAGTCACCCAGATGCCAGACACGTCAGCGCCCTAGTGACTTGATTAGAAGAACAGACTCATGTCCTTATCCAAGAGCCTGGGCCCTGCACCTGTGCTGGCTCCATGTGCCTCCTCCCCACTGGCCAAGGCATTGGCTGTGTATCTCCCTTGCCGCCCGATAGTGTGGCACACGCCAGCAGCTGGTTTCCTGACTCATTTACACATAAGCAGTACATCTCTGGCTTCTGGGACTCTGAGGCCTTTGCAGTATGAGAGACCACAGTCCACTGAGACTGGGAGCATACACGTTCTGTAACAGGAGTTCTGTGGGAGAAGTTTTGGCTGGACAAACACCCCTCTCTGGGACCACCTTTACCTCTCTGCTGGTGTTCAGAATTGGTGGCTGGGAGCCAGGTGGAGGAATCCTCCGGGGAGCTCCAACAGAGAGACTCTGTCCTGGAGGCAGCTGAATGGACTGTGGCAGGATCAGTGGCTGCTGCCCAGAGCCATACCGAGGCAGCGGCATAGTGAGCTGTTGGGTGACAGGACAGTCAGGGGGCAGAAGGGACACTGGAGATAAGGCTAAAACATACTTCGTGATTGTACACATCACTCCTGACTGGTCTCCGCACCTTCAGATGGCTGCGCATCCTCAGGCCTTGAAGCTGTTACTAAACAAAGGGTGCTACGGAAGCTACAGGGTGTTGTCAGACATGAACAGTGGCAATGCCAGTGACATTCTATACATAGCTGTATGCCACTCAGAGTGCAGGCTTGGAGGGGAAAGACAGCAGAGACTTCTCCCAAATGACAGCTGCACAGGAAGACTCTCCTCACATCGCCTTGTGTACACCAAGATGGAAGCACACTTTTTTTTTTTAACTTTCTTTTTTGAGATTTTTTTTTTTTTATTACATATACAGTGTTCTGCCTGCACACCAGCAGAGGGCACCAGATCTCATTATAGATGGTTGTGAGCCACCATGTGGTTGCTGGGAAATGAACTCAGGATCTTTGGAAAGGCAGGCAGTGCTCTTAACCTCTGAGCTATCTCTCCAGCCTGGAAGCACACTTTTTGCATCAGCGATGGCAGAGAGAAAACAAGACCAAACTAGAGCTGCAGAGACCCTTCTGGGGCATGCCAGACAGCAGAGTAGCAGTGCTAACAGGGCCCAAGAGATCAAAAACAAGACAGTGGCGGGGGTGGGGGGGAGAGCACTGGGCCACTTGAGTCTCTCAGTCATTGTCCTCTTCATCTCCCTGCTTTGAGTCCACAGTAGAGGGTCAGAAGGATCTATTGGAACCACATCACTGAGACCTGCAGTGGCACCAGGGCCCCAGAGTAGAGTGCAGCAGGGAGAGGGTAAAGTCAGGCAAGACCGATGCCTGGGCAGGGTATGGCCTAGCTCTCCCCCTTACAGGAGAGCCTGGGATGCTGTGCTCACTGCACAGGCTATTGAGGACCAAGGGCAAAAATGGGGCAAAGAGTAAGACTCTGCAAAGCAATGGTGCTGGGCAGCCAGTAAGGAAGCCGGGATCGAAGAAATCAATCTGGTAATGAGTAATGCTTGGATGATAGTGACCAGAAAGGAGAGCCAAGACAGGAATGAAGGGCACACCCACAATTAGGGGCAGGGGAGTGGTGATGGAAGGAAGAGGGTTTGAGGGGACACGGAAGCCAGGGAATAATGTCTTGAAGATGATTTTAAGAGTCAGGGGCAAGTGTGTGATGCCATGATGAGGTGGCTGACAGTGTAGTCTCCTACTGAAAGGACAGCACTGAGCCTACCTCTACACTGACAGGAAAGAGAAGGCACTTGCCAGCGTGGCCTGCAGGATGAGGGACATCCAAGGGACAGGATGCCTCTGTGGTCCGGAAGTACACAGGAAGGGAGATGTGGCCATGGGCCCTGCGGACCATCAACTCCTGCTTCTCTGGTAGCAGGAAGCAAGGTAATGGTGGGGGTGGGGATGACAGAGGGACAACACAACATGGGGGAAGCAGCAAGAAGTGCCTCTCAGGAGGTAGGACTGATGGGAGACAAAAAGAAGTGCAGTGGGCTCTGAGAGTCTACTTCCTGGGAGGAAACAGGTGATGCCACAGGGCTGAGAGAAGAGCAGGTTGCGGAAGTAGTGCAGGGTTGAAGTACTTAGAGTTGTTAGGAAGGTACAGCTGAGCTGGGTGGTGCACACCTTTAATCCCAGCACCCGGGGAGGCAGAAGCAGACAATCTCTGTGAGTTCAAGGTTGGCCTGGTCTACAGAGTGAATCCAGAACAGCCAGGCCTACGCAGAGAAACCCTGTCTCAAAAAAGCCAAAAAAGTAAGGCAGAGCTGTTGACTGCATGAGACAATGGCATCTAGATGGAGTAAGAGAGCAAGCCAGGGGCCCAACAGAAGGAAGGTCCAACTCAATGTCACACAGGCCCCGAAGCTGAGGAATGCTGGGTGCAATGGCAGATTTGACAGTGTGAAGTGCCAACATGTAGTGAGAGCAGGCCCAGCAGTCTATACCCCAGACTCTGAAGTGGGAACTAGAAAAGACTGAGGGACAAAGAAGACACCTGTCCCATTTCCGTTCCCAAAGCCACCATTTGTGGGTTGCAAACATCCCTAGAACAGAGCTCTAGAAGAAAGGGAGCTGAGTAGAACACAATGGTGTAGGGATTACAAGAGTCTCTGCAGCTGAGGTGTACATTTGGGCATCAGCACACACGAGGCACCCGGAGTCAAGGAAGGAGGAGACTAGCGAGAAGCCAAACTGACCTGTGGAAGCTGAGAATCCAGCATCTGGGAGGTCCCCAACCCGGCAGCCTGGCCGAGCTGGCCCTCATACACCAGGGCCTGGTTTCCACTCATGGGCTGGTAGGGTGAGCCAGACTGTGGCTTCACCATTTCCAAGGGCTGTATGCCAGGAAATGCAGAGTATGGGGGCTTCAAGGCCGTGCCCCCAGAGAGGATCATAGTGCTAGGTGGTGACAGGCTGGGGTGCATGTACACCTGAGACCTGCAAAAGCCAGATAGAGATCAAGATCAGGTGACTAAGACACACAACTGTCAACACGGGCGAGCATGGGGACCAAGGACTTGCTAACAGATCCCTGCTTCCCCAGAAAGGATGATCCAGAGGATCTGGATGATCCTGATATTGCTGACCTGGGGACCATGAACACACAAACACAAGCTTTGGCAGGTCCAGGAAGACCCAGTGATGCCCAAGTTTGAAGCCATCATGTATATTGAAAGGATAAGCTGGGTGTGTCTGTGTTGGGGGCGTATAGAGGGAAGGGCATGGGAAGAGGAGCGTAACTTGGAACAGGGCATGAGGGACCAGGAGCCCCCAGCAATCTGTGGTGGGCGGGAAAGGAGTGCAGAGCATCTGATGACTGGTCCAGGGCCCCAGAGCAGCACACACAACCACAGCAGGGCAGCATGGAGGTCTGACCCCTGGGCTATCTCACCTGAAAGGCTGCAGGGAGCTGAAGATCTCCTGGGACTGGGAGACAGGGAGTCCGCCTCTCAGCCCAAGCTGCGCCTGGGCCTGCAGAGATGTGTGGAGGGATATCGGGATCTGCTGGGCAGTGGCAGCCTGTGGACAGAGCCAGGTGATGACTACATTGCCCCCAGCCTCCATCCGGTACATGGAGATGTACCCACCTCCATCCGGTCCTGTCCCGGTTGGCCAGGGCACAGCTCAAAACATGTAATCTGGCTTCCCACAGCTTAAGATCAGTACTACAACCAAGGCACGGTATCGCCCTAACACCAGAGCGCTGCACAGTAGAAAGGAGTCCAGCTATCCACATCAATGGAGATGAAATTTTGAGTATTCTTTGGAGGATATATGCAAGCTGAGTATGGTGTCTCACACTTGAAATATCAGCCCTTCAGTGGCTGAGGACACAGGATGCCTCTAAATTCCAGCTCAGCCAGAGCTAAATAGTTCTAGGCCAACTTGGACTACAGAGTGAGATTCAAAAATCATAAGGAAAGTGCTAGAAAGATGGCTTAGTGGGTAAAGGCACTTGTTATTGATGAGGACCTAGGTCTAGGTCTCAGCATCCACTAACAACTCTCTGAATCCAGTTCCACAGGATCCCACATCTTTTGGCCTCTGTGGGCGCTGCACGCACATAGCACATAGACATACATGCAGACAAAATACTCATTCACATGAAATAAAAACAAAACAAAACAAAACGAGGGGGAACACTAAGATCCATTTACTTGGATCGAAATCTTAGAAAACTAACAAGAACATGTCTTAAGAGCTGAGGGCAGCCCCATCCTGTCTGGACTGGAGATCTGCCGTAGGAAAAATACTCCTGGGGTTTATAGCACCAGGCTTTGGAAGAAGCTTCCAAAACACACTGGCCGCATACAGAGAGAATTCCAATCTCATGCAAAGACAACATCCTGCCTGCTTCTAAAATTATCTCTTTCTAATGCATCTGTGCCTAGGTACTCAGGCCCAGGCAGGACCCCGGCAGGACCCCAATTACCAAAGTAATCCCACTGCAACTGATCCGCAGCTTACAGAAGCAACGACTCTGAGAGGAGTAACAGTTCTGGGGTGTCTACTTCATGCCTATTTATCTCTCACAGGCTCTTTCTATAAGCGCACTCTGGGTGCCATGGTCTGCCAGTGCTGGGGTCCACATCAGCAGGAGGCAAGATCACCAGAAAAGAAACGCAGAGAGTGGCCACAGCTGTGCTGCCTCTGACCTCATGCCTCCCGACTTGCTTCCCTCACCTGCTGGTAACTCTGTTGCTGAGGTATCGTTTGAGGAACCAGTCGTGGCTGACTTGCATATACGTGGCCATCCAGGTACAGAGGTGGGAGGTGGTTGCCTAGAAACAGAACCAAGACAGAGAAGGAAAGGATCAAGTCTCCCCGTTGCGCACAGCCCACTTTCCCTGGGGACTCGGCGGGGCTGAGGATATGAGCAGAGGCTCTATGGTTCTCTGCTGCAACACACACCTCCGGAGGCCCAGGCCAGTGCAGAGTACAGCACCTGAGACTTAACCACTCACCAGCTGTGCTGGGCCTTTGGGAGGGCTAGTTACTATGGAAGAGAGTTGCTTTGGTCTCTCAGTCACTGTCCTCTTCATCTCCCTGCTTTGAGTCCACAGTGGAGGGTCAGAAGGATCTATTGGAACCACATCACTGAGACCTCGGCAGCTTGGCCCTCAAAATCCCCAGTAACAAGCATGATGACAGGAAGAATCAGAACAGTGATAGAGGGCGCAAGTAAGCCCTTGCCTCATGGGTACAGCCACCCAATGGCACAGTATCATCAGCCTAATTTACTGGAGAGGCAAGTGATCACCAGGGATTTGGCACTGACTAGAGTCTGACTCAAAGTCTTTGCTTATTCTTCTCTGGCAATTCCAAGTGCCTCCTATGGCACAACAATACTGCTTCCAACAGCAGAGCAGGAATTACACTGCCCATAGCATGTGGGAAGCTGTCACTACCTGACCTAGAAACCAGTGTCACACTCTGTAAGTGAAAGCACAGAGCGATTAATCCAGCTTCTCTCTATAGCGAATGGAGAAGGCTCCTGAGCCTGGCTCAGGGGATGTGATACCTGGCATCGAAGCAGAAGGCGCTACAGAAGCCACAGGCATGGGTGGCATGGACACTCCTCCAAAGGAGCTGTAGTTGACCCCGTTGGAGGCGCCCACAGAGGATGGAGGCTGGATGCCCGAGCCTGCACCTCCTGGAGAGCTCTGCTCCGGCAAACTGGGGGAGTTTTCCCAAGCCTTGCGTGCAGACTCCATCTTTGGAAGCAAGAGGAGGGGAGGGATGCAAATTACTACCGGGACAGAAGGGGAGAGCAGCAATCTAAGCGCTGGGTGCAGGAGGGCGCCCCTCCACCTCTCCACAAGCTGAGGTGCTAATGAGGGCCCTAGCCCAGCTCAGGCCTGGCTTTACCTTCAGGGTGAGGTCTGCCGTGGGGAAAGACATGGGGGAGAGGCCGATGGCTCTCTGGATGTGGTGATCCCGCCGAAGGATGGGGATACTCTGCGTCAGTCCTGCCTGGAGACAGGAGGAAGGAAGTGTGGGGCATGGCAGGGCTCAGGACAGCTGCTTATCTGAACACCCCCATGACCAGGATTCATCCAGAGCAGGCTGCCTAGACCAGGTTCCATGACAGAAGTCACCTCCACACCCACACTCCACTAGCCCTCCAGACACTCATGTCCCAGTAACACAGAACAGGATTAGCTGCCAAGAAGAAAGCACCTGGAGTCAGAAACCTACCGCCTGGCTTGGAGATGGCCAGGTCCAGACAGGAAAGAGTGGCTGGTGGCTGTCACTCGGCTCTTTGGGCCCTCCTAACACAGGTGGGAAATGCAATGACTGGACCCTAGAGCGCTGGGCTCATTAGCCAATTGTAACAACCTGGCTAACTCAGCCTTTCCAACACACTGAAACCCAAATGTTTTCATTCACGGCCTGGCAACACTCTCAAGCACTAAAGCTCCTCCTCCAGCCCTCTTGGGAATGCTGCCTGGATGTTCCCCCCATCCAGCAGACCTACAGAGGACAGACAAATGAGTGGAGCTGTTGGCCGTTTCTCCAAGAAGCTCACAATGCTGTATCTCTCTCTGGAATGCACAGCACCTAGTGGGCCCTGGAATTCCAGGAGGCACCTCCTGTTTAGCCAGGGTTGCCCACTGGCTGTGAAATGATAGTCTGGGGACGAGGGTATGTGGCTCAGTGTTAAGAGTGTGTGCCCTCAGTTCCTTCCCTAGGGAGAGCAGTCTGAACCACAGCTGGCACGCACGGAGACTGGAGCTAGAGCAAGCCAAATGACCCAGACCTTAAGAGGACTGATATCACCTCCAGCCAAAGGTCCCAAAACCACGAAGCTGCCCGCATGGGTGCACGGGCAGAGCTGGAGGAAGACATGCTGACTTACATTACTAGCCAAGACATCCTGAAGCTTGGCAACTGGATTCCCTACGGGACCAGAAGCAGAACCAGGTGGCAGGCTGAAATCAGAGTCCTGGAAGAGAAGGGCACACAGCGTCTGCGCCTCGCCCAGCTCACCCATCACTGGGCCCGCATCAATGAGATGTCCACTAGCAACACTCAGCAGAGCCACGAGAGAGAGATGACCACACAAAAGAAAGGAAGCCACCTGACCTGTCTCTCCCTACCCTCTGGCTGGCCTCTGAGGCCAGCTAGAGCCAGAAAGGTCATCCATAAAGCAATCCAGTAACACTTGCCCATCCATGTCTCCATAGTAACACTACCCAAAATAATGCTCAGCTCCCAGCTTCCTTTTTTTCTTTAGGAGACAACCCTAAATGACATGAAAGCAAGAAAGAGAAGGGGGGGAGGGGGAGAGGAAAAGAGAAAAAGAAAAAGAGAAAGAAAAGGAACAAACAAAGAAAAGAAAGAAAAAAAAAGTGAAGCTCACTTTTGGATTGACTCCAAACTCAATGGGTGGTACAGGCAGCACGGAGTCCACATGAATCTCCACCCCGTTAACAGGCGGGACGACGGCCCCTTGCAGCCGCTCGGCCCCCTCCGAGCCCTTTCTGTTTTTCAGAGACCGCTCATTGCCGATGGGTCCTGGTCTGTGCTCCTTGCTCTGTCCAGAGCCTTGTTCTGAGTCCTTGGTGGGAAAGCAGAGGCTGAGACACACTCGTTCCCACGTGCCCTTGTCACCAGGGAAGACAACAAGACAAAGCAGGGCCCCAATGCCCAGGCCCTGGCCACCATGTAGGGAACTTCCAGGTTACCTTGTGCTCAGACTGCTTCTGAGCTTGGTCCTTGTGGCTGTCGGCCTTGGATTCCGCCAGGCCAGGCCCGCTCATCTCCTCTGGCTTGAGAGTACCATATGGAGAACTGCGCTGTGAGGAGGTCGCAGACGACTCCCGAGACTCAGCACTCAAGTCAACGCCACTATCACCCTGGCTGCTCTTAAAACCCTGCTGTGCAGAGCACAAAATGGGTTAGAGCCCTGTCCCCAAACTGCAAAGCACAAGCATCGCGGAGGCAGGCCTGTGGGTAGCACCGGCATTCCTCCCAACCACCAACCTCCACTCCAAACTCCAGTCCTGACCTCATGACACTGGCCCACGGCACACACCAGCTTAATGAATGCACCAATACTACCCAAGTCTGTGACTACCAGACACTGCATGGATCTAAGACAAGGCTACCAAACTCATGTCACACAAAGCATACAGGTGCAGCCAAGACCAGCTCAAAGGTGGCTCTCAATCTAGCTCCCTAGCCAGGGCTCTCTCCCTTGTCTCTCCGCTCATGCAGGCAACACACATAAATCAAGAGACCAAGGCTGAAGAGGGTGACAAGCTAGGGACCATAGTGGGGCATCTTGTACAGGCCCAGCTGCCAGCGAATGCGCTGTAGCACCAGGGCACGGGGGTGGCGGCGGCTCTCACCTCTGAGGTGCCGGGCTCAGTGCTGCTGAAGGCGGTGACAGCTTTCCTCCACGAGTCGCTGGCGGCCCCCTGCACAGGGAGGGCTGCCAAGGAAGGAAGACAAGCGTTAGGGCATCATGAGAGACAAGCAGGCTGGGGAGACAAGAGCTTGTGAGTCTCTTTCCACTGGGCTGAACATCAACTGAGAAGGAGAACTTAGGGAAAGCCACCCCCGGGTGCTCGGCACACCCCACTGCGGACACAAGCACTTTCCTCAGCAACTAGTACCCTCAGATTAAAACGAAAACTGCAGCAAAAAACCCAACTTGCTTGGAATCTTTATACTGGTTTTGTTTTGTTTGGGAGGGCAGGGATGGGGATATATAGTTCTGGCGGATCTGGAACTCACAGATCTACCTCCCAAATGCTGAGACTAATGGTGTGTACCACCACACCCAGCTACACTCACTGATTTTGTATTAATTCAATTCTCATCAGTCATACTATGTCAACATTCTCCTGCACCGAGAGTGAGCATCTTCAAGGCCTTGAAAGATCCAGGCAGGTATAGCTTGAGAAGGTGAGCAGCCTACAGACGTTGCCTACATTCCAAAAAGGCACTGAGCCTCAGCCCTGAAAAACCGTGTAGGCATCAGATGCACTCCAAAGCTACACGTAGAGCCTGAGATACTGCAGAACCCTTGGCCTCCCAGAAGACGACTGCTCTCGAGTCTGCCGTGCCGATCTGGCAAAGACACTTGCAGACACTTATGGTGTGTGCCGACTGACTGTACACTCGCTGCATGCTAAGCCATGCCCCACCACGAAGCGGCGCCTCCAGGAGCCCTCTTTCTTCTACTATGGTAGAACAAACATCACTTGGAAGTGTTTCACAACACACTATAACCAAGGTTCTCACGGACCACCAGGAAGGGCGAGAACTGTGCAGCACAGACTTGCAGGAACATGAGTGGCACGCTGTGGCATCTGTCCTAGCCTGGGGTCAGCCACTGTTCTACAGGGAGGGCTCTCCTAGCTCGCCTGCAGGTGACAAAAAAAACCCTTCTAGTCAGCTGCACAATCTTCCAGGCTCACTGTTTTGCAGGTCCTGCTCACTACAGGCCATTAAGAACAACTTGATCAACTGGAATGGCTTTGCATTTTAAAGCAAAAGTTCACCAGAAGCATAGCTTTGAGTGGGACATTAAAAACAAACAAAAAAGCTTTAAGGAAATAAACTTTTCAAGGCAGAAGATATCCTTAAGTTAATCTGAACTTTGCCCTTCCACAGAAAAATTAGGGAGAGAGCCACAGGATTTTCTTCATGTTGGGGAAGAACAACATGTTCACTCACCCCCTACTGGCCACATGTCATTTCCTTTCCTCACTAGATAGGGAAATAGGATGCCTCCCCTAGGGTGCCACGTCTGCTAGTCTACTGGAGCCAGGACATGTCACCCATCTATGGCCGCCACAGCAGGTCAGCTCAGGTGCCGCTCAGCACTGGCTCTGCTGGGGTCCAGGAAACAGGGAACACTCCACTTCTACCCCTGGCCCAAAGCAGGGACTCTGGGGAAGGGCCCGGCCTCTACTGAGCCAGGCACCACCTTACCTTGGCTGCTGCTCTCCCAGATCTCAGTGCCCAAGCTGCTGCCTGGCACAGCCACGTCTCCTTGCTCCAGACACAGGCTGCTCTGCTTTTTAGCAAATCGAGGAGGAATACGCGACGAAAGGCCTCGACCTTTGACAGGCACCTATAGGAAAGAAGAGCTGATGCAGTCTAGCCTAAGACATGACTGGTGACAGCCTCTCCCAGGAAAAGGAGCTTGGCTCACACCACCACCCAAAGTAGCCTGAGATGCCAGACACTTGTCCTCAAAAGCTCAGGCTCAGGGTTTGCTGCCAGGACAGCAGGACTGGCCCCAGGAGCAGGCTGATCAAAGTGTTAATACAATGTCCAACCTCAAGCATTTCTGCACAGGTTTCCTGACACCTAGCCAGGCTACGGCACTGAGGAGAAACGAATCCGAGGCGTGCTGAGGCTGATCTGACCTGGCTGGTCACATTTTGGATGTAGATCCTGGACAGGTCAGCCTCTTTCTGAAGGTATCAGGTACTGGGAGGCAACGCATGCCTGAGAGATACTCCTCCCTTCCTCTCGCCCACCCAGGGCTGCCCTCTGGCCCATGGCCCTCACCTGAGCAGCCTGTTCCTTCTTTCTTCTCTCCTCCTCCAGCAGGCGGCGCTGCTTCTTGGTCAGGACTTCAATAAAGCCTTCCCCCACCATGGAGCCTACTTCACTCTCTTCCCCAGGGCTGGATCCGCAGTTGTCAATGATGGCATCTGAACCAAAAGTCACAGAAGAATTAGGCAAGAGTCACCCAACAGGCAACTGATACCCAACACATGCTTGGCTCAGAAGTCCACTTATCAAGGAGCAATTTCTTTAGTGCCTCTGAAAATCCATACATGGTACTCCATCCTCATGCTCATGTGACCTGATACGCTGCAAGCACAGCCCAGCGGTGCTCAGGCAGCACCATGACGGAGATAATTGCTTTTAAAGAAGATGCAGATTCATAAACCCAGTTCTGTTTCTTGCTAGCCATGTGGTCTTGAATACACCCTTTAAATCAGGAAAGTTATACAGATGTCATGGGGGCTCAGCGTCATAAGACAGGAGTCTGAGTTGTTTTGCATCTCCCCTTACTCCAAACAAGTCCCAGAACCTAGCAGAGACTCACTTCCGTAGCCCAGGTCAAACTGCTTCCGGGCCTCTTCCTGCTCACCAGCCCTTTGGGCGGCCAAAGAAGCCTCCTTCTCTGCTTTCTTACTGGTGGTTTCAGGACTGTCAGAGCTGGCATGAGTGGTCCGTTCCAAGGCATAGGATGAGTGGTTTCCACTGCTGCAACCAAGTCCCCCAGGCAAGGCCTCATCTGGAGACCTGCAAAGGAAGGTGAATGCCGTGAATTCACCATCACTCAAAGGCTGGGGAAAATGGATGAGAAAAACTTTGAATACACAAGGCCCACACACAAACAGCAGCTATCTAGTTCCAATGCCTTCTACTGAGCCACCAGGGGTCAGGAGAACCTGCTGACAGTGCATGGCATGTGCTGGTCCAGTTCTGTGAGGCAGTAGAGAAGGCTGCTAGAGCATCCCTTCCCCGCATTCTGTCTGTTCCCTCCCACTGCATGCCACCTTCAGCACCTGCAGTGGGGAGAAGAGGGCGGGTGGGCACACCCAAGAAATGGCTACCAGCCTTTCTGCACTGGGCCAGAGAACAGAGAGCAGCACAGGTTTTCTCAGCTGCGGGCTCTTGAGAACATTCATGATGCCTTTTGGGGGCTGGAGTATGGTCACACAAACACTTAAAAGAACAGACACTTTCCTGAGTCAACCTCTTTGGGGTATGTGCACCCAACTTGTGAATCCTGGGTTCTAAGGACAGAAGGGCTGAAACCTCTGCTCCCCAGAAACCTCCACCTGAGGCACTGACTGGGTAGCAGGCCCATATTCTCTCTATAGCCTGGGCAACATACTGTCCACTCCAAAAGCTTTCAGGTTCTAGAAAAAGAGGCTCACTGGCTGCAAGTGGCCTGGTCCCCTCTGTTCTTGATGGCTCTAGCCAAGCCCAGGTAGCAAGAGGGAAGCAGGGCCACTAAGGGCATACCCGAAAGGTGAGTGACGCCTTCCAGTCAGCTCCAAGCAGGAAAAAGTGGGTGACTGGCCAGAGCTCACTAGGCGCCACACACAGGCAACAGCTATCAGTGTAGGGCTAAGACTAGATCCTAGGTTATACTCTAGGGACAAGGGCCAGAACAGCAGTCACAAGAAGGCCTCTGGGGAGTAGGGCACAGGGAACTTTGGGTTCCGTTGATCAAGCCACAACAACATCAACAGTGACACACCATGGAGAAGCAGACAAGCAATGCAGGAGCAAGTGATGGAGACGCTCACACACAGCGGCCAGGGCTGCCTGGCTTGGCAGGGCGTGCATGCATGGACTCGGTGCTGCTGCGAACAGGACAACGACAAAGGACTCGAGATGGTGCTGACGCATTACCTTGTGACTTTCAGAGGTGTCCCACTCTGCTGGCTCTCGCAGCGGGGGGAAGTCTCACCCCCACCTGGCCTAACAGGCTTCTCCCCAAACCCTCCCGGCTCCAGCTTGCGGCTCTGTCTGTCAGCCAGGGGCCTCTGGCTGGAGAAGCTCCTCTTGGCCAGCTCCTTCTTCTCACCCAAACTGGCCCCTGACAGGCCACCTTCCCCTTGTGCTTCGGGCTCTGTTGCAAGGCCTTCTCGCCGCTCCCTCCGCTCGCTGAAGTCGCTGCTCTCGGACGCAGTCTCCCACTCTTCGTTGGCATGGTCAGAAGAATTCTGGTAGGAAAGCTCTGGGGATCTGTGACCTCCAGGACCACTCTTGTCCCCAGGACAGAGTTTGGACCGGCCTGGCCACTGGCTTGCCAGCAGGTGGGACTCCTCCTCAGGTCCCCACAGGCCCAGGGACTCCCGCTCTTGACGGAGGCGCCGGAAGCGAGGGGGCTTGTCTTGGCGTGGGGGCCGCCTCCGACGGAAGGGCCTATTTTCTGCACTTTCAGAATCTGCCCCATGGTCATCTTGGAAAAAGGACCTCTTGTCCTCCATGCGGCTGTCCTCAAAGACCCTGCTGCCAAATGTGTCAGAGTGTCGGTAGGAGTCTGGGATATAGTCTCTGTCAATGGTTCGCCGTGGGCCACATGGGTCAGAGGGGCCATATTCCTGCCAAGAGCTGCCTGGGCTCCTGCTCTGCCAGTGGGGAGGTTCTTTGGCAACAAAGGTTCTGCGACCATAGCTGCAGTTGCTCAGGCGAGGTGGGAGGGCTCTCCCACAGGTCCGGGGTCCCCGGCTGCGGGCGTCTAGGCCACCCTGGTCCTCAGTGTAAGTCCTGTTGGAGCGCCATGAGTCCTTCTTCAGGGCACTCTCGTCCCTCTCCATGAGCATGCCCTCGTGGCCAGGCTCTGAGCCCCGCTGACGGCGCCTTTTGGGTAGCTCTTCATACTCTGAGCCCTCGCTATGGGTCTCACTGGCAATGCGCCGCCTGGGCTTGGCTCTGGGGCAATCCTCCGGTGGGGGAAAATCACGAAGGCTCCTGCCTCGGCTACCTCGCTGGCCACCGCTGTACATGTTGCGAGCCCCGAGCACACCTGTGCCACACAGACTACTTGTGCTGCTTCCTGCAGGCCGGCCACCTCGGAAGGTGAACTCTCTGAAGCCACGGCCACGGCTCCGGGCCTGGCCCCGACTCCCAAAGGCCTGCTCCTCGTCAATGAAGATCCAGTTGTTTCTCTTAGTTGGGGGAATGTCACTGGCCTCCCTTGAGGTTCTGTTCTCCCAGGTCTTATCAGCCTTTGCATCTTCATCTAGCTTGCTAGATTCACGGCTGAACCCAGCCCGGGCAGCGGCCTTGTCCTCCAGGGCAGAGGAGGCATTGGCCAGGGCAGGGTTGTTCTCTTCATCCTCATCCTCTTCAACCCTGCACATGGATTCTTTCTCTGTGGCCAGCTGTGAGCTCTCCTCTCCAAGGCCCTGCCTGACTCTCTCCAGTGCCTTTTCCTTCTCTTCTACCTTCAGGGCCTTGAGGACGGGTTTCTTGATGGGTCCCGACCTCCGGGTCCTGCCCGGCTGCTCCTGGTGTTGGCTGCTTGAGCTCCGGGGCTCTGGTGTCCACTCGGGCTCTGGGTCTGGCTGTTTCTTGGGGCTCCCTTCCTTCTCCCAGGAGGAAACATGAAAGGATGGCTCCTCCCGGGGTGCCTCCAGCTCGACACTGCTGGCTGTGTCGGCAGCCTTTGGCTGGTGGTGGCCAACATCCCAACTGCCATAGTCTGGCTTTTTCTCTGCTGGGACAAAGTCGGGCTCCAGTGGGGAACACCTGAGGTTTGGGGTACGACCCCCAGGAGCACCCACCTCCTGAACATTTTCCTGGGGTGGAAATAAAAGCTCCTGGCCTATTCTTTGAGAAGAAATACAGTTGTCAAAGTCTGCTTGGGCCTTCTTGTCAAAAGCACTCAAGTACTCCTCCCCTCTCTCCTCAAAGAGATCGCGCTGGGCACTTATGCCCCCTGACCTTCCGGGGGAGGCAGAGTAAGACCTTTCATTCCTGAAAAGGAACCAGAAAAATCAGTCAATGTGATTGGAGCTTGGTTCCTGGTCTCCATGCCGAACACGGCTTAGTTTTGTTTTGTTTTGTTTTAAAGAAAAAAAAAAAGTTTTAAAAAGAAAGGAAAACACAAGCAAACATTTGCTCTAGCTTATGACACGTTGCTTGGTGGCCCCTGGAGTCCGTGAGCGTGGAGATGGCAGTGGTAGCTCAATGCACCACCCTGGAGACAGAGAGGAGCTGGCGGTCCCCTGGAGCAATGAACAAGCTGGAGCCTGGGAGTCTGTGAGCCTGGGCCTAGCGGTGGCAGCGTTAGCTCCTGCACTTGCACAGGTGGAGTGAGCCCAGACCCCATTCTCAAGCCACCTGCCTGTGAGCCCCCCCCCACAGCCCCTTTAATGCCCACAGTTCGGCGACCACGGGGTTCCTTCTGCACCTCAGCTGGCCATCAGAAAGAGCCACTCACACCCAACATTCAAGCACATTGCTTCCACTCCTTCCGATCCACCCCGGGTAGTGTCTCCTGGAATGGGGCCTCTTCCTAGGGCCCTCCACTGGGACTGCGGAGTCTTCCTCTAGCTGTAGTGGGACGCTCACCTGACATGCATGCCCATGGCCAGAGTGTCCGCGGACTTCGGGTGGGACAGTGAATAGCCTTTGCTCTGCAGTGCCATGTAGCCCTCTGGGCTCCACACAGGAGTTGGGTCGATGGTGGTCACTTTTCTTTCTTGGAGTGAGGGCACACAGTTCTGATCTTCAGAGCGACGGCCAGTCCCACTGAGGGGCTCTTGGGGCATCATGGGCTTCATCAGTCCTGAAGAAGGCAAAGGGTCAACCTCTCTCATCTAACACAGAACGTCTGGCAGCAACCTCAAAGCAAAACAGAGTCTCAAAGGAGGCAGCTGTCCTAATGCCACATGGACACAGCAACGACCCCTTAAACATTTAAGTCCGCACTCAACTCAGATCAGAGGACTCTAATGACACATAGTCTGACCTGACACATAGACTTAGGAGCCGTCTCTGGTTCCCAGAACAAGAATCCACTGGAAAGGTAATGAAAAAAATACGTGAAAGCCAGATTTCAGACCAGTGAGAGCCTACCCCAACACTGCTTGGCTGTGCAGACTAGAGATGAGCCATATCCCAGATGGCACACAATCACCAGGCAGCACTCAGTTGATTCGGACCCTCTTAGGAAGATTTAGACAGGGATGTGACTTTACTACATCCTATGCCGATGGGAAGATGGCCGAGGACAGTCAACGTTTTGTATTTGGGAATTCTCGCTGTTGGGAAAGCAGGGTGATCGGCACGGATGGACTAGGATACAGATGAAAATCTATTAGCTCTATGAAGCTTCCCCAGCCTTTCCACATCTGTGAGCCTTGCCATCAGCATCCTCCAGAACCAGGCAGAAGGCCTTCAGTGCTTCTGAAATGCTACTAAACATTAGAAAGCCCTTCAGTACAGAAGAGTCCCACCTGGAAGTCTATCTTAGCCTAGGCCAAGGAAGATAAAAACAACCAGCCGTAGGAAAGCAGAACAACATGCTTGCTTCCTTTGGGCTTGGAGGAGGGGTGTATTCAAATTTCTGCTTCGCAGAATGATGCAGAGATCTCTCAAATTAATCAAGACTGGTTGTAAGGGTGGGAAGGCCCTGGGAGGAAGACCATGAATCCAATAAAGGCCCTGAAAGGTCTTTACCAGGTCCTGAAACTAAACTTAAAATCCAAATGGCCAGAACGTATATGGAATGTAATATATCATAGCTGGATACATCTTAGAAGAAACTAGAAGTAAACATTTATATTTAAATGATTAAAAGGCCGAAAAGAAAGAATTAAGCACTTTCTGGGTGTAGTTATGCACGCCTGTGATCCCAGCACTCAAGAGGCAGAGGCAGGCAGAGCTCTGTGAGTTTGAGGCCAGCCTAGTCTACAAAGTGAGTTTCAAGACAGCCAGGGATGCATAGTGAGACCCTATCTTTAAAAACAAAGAGGAAAATTTTAAACAAGAGCTAGGGAGACCACTAAATGTGTCAAGGTACTCAGTGCCAAGCCTGACAACTGAGTTTTTCTGAGATCTTCAAATCTCTGCAAACACGCTGTGCATGTGCCACTCCAAAACTGAGTAAATAAATGTTAAGAGGAGGAGGAAAAAAGAAAATACAAAGGGAAGCAACAATTCGGGAAGCAAACCCTATTCCCAAAAATGTACAGTCACTAAAATGTAAAAAGGCAGATTAGACACAGGTGAAGAGATACCGGAGCTGCAGACAGTGCTGAGACCACTTCCCAGATGGCAGCATGGAGACAACCTCCTTCCCACTCATTCGTTTCCACACTCAACACTCCCTTCTCCTGTCCCTCCTGCGGGGGGCACACCCAGCCTTGGCCAGTGCTGGTACCTTCTTGTGGAATAGTAAAGGAACACGTGCATCCCAGCAGGAGGCTGAGCAGGAGGCTGACACAGGCTGAGGAGTTTTGGACTAACTTCAAGAACACAATGAGAAGCGGGGTTAGGGGGAGGGCAGGGGAAATGAACACCTAAACAACACAAGACCATAGACAAACAGAAGAGCTTAAAACAAAACAAAACAAAACAACCAGAAGATTGTGTTGTTTGTGCCTGGTGCCTACAAACACCTGATGAGAGGAGGGCACCAGATTCTCTGCAACTGGAGCTGTAGAGTTATGAGACCACGTGTGTGCTGGGGACTGGAAGAGCAGCCACTGCTCTTAACTGCTAGACTAAATTTCCAGCCCACACAAACAAACTGTTTTTGTTGTTGGTTTTGTGCAGGGGGGGGGGGGGGGGGCGTGACAGTGGACAGCAATTGAGACAGAGTCTTACTATGTAGCTCTGTCTGTCCTGGAACTCACTATGCAGACCAGGCTGGCCTCAAAGTCAAAGACCCACCTGCATCTGCCTCTGGATTGCTGGGATTCAAGGTGCATACCACCACGACTAACATCGAAATCAATATAAAGGAACCAGCTATGGCAATTGCTACAGACTTTCAGAGTTAGCACGGTCAGTGTCATCTTACACAGGAAAAGATATACTAGTAAAATCCAGGGTCCAGAGAACTCACTACTAAAAGGCTGGGATAAAAGGTATCAAATCAACAGTGAAGAAACCTAGAATAATCCACCCAAAGTAGCAAAGACAGAAAACACAACACAAAAACACAATGTGTATTGGGTGCTACACGTTGATGGAAAGGAGGGCCAATTCTTTTCCATGTGCACATGGAGGCTGACCCAAGAGGACTTCCATGAATGTGAGCCTGAGACACTGAGTTCTGGGCCAGCCTGAGCTACAGTGAGAGACCATGTCTCAACAACAAGCAAAAAAGCAGGTGTGATGGCCCATGCCTTTAATCCCAACACCAAGATGCAGAGGCAGGTGGATCTCTGATTTTTCGGTCAGCCTGGTCTCACAAGAAGTTCAAGGCCACCCAGGGCTACACAGTGACAAAACAAAAAAACACCACAAAAACAAACACCTATACTTATAAGAAGTTTAAAAAGCCACAACCACACTGGGATAGTTATTTATTTCTATATCTGGTGCTAGAGTTGAACCCAGGTCCTGGCGAAAACTAAGAGGACGTGCTCTAGCATAAGGTCAAACCTCCAAGCCTGTGGCAAACAATTTTAACACCTGTCAATAACTGATCAGGGGATTTTGGAAAAGTAATGATATGGGTATTTGTATAACCCAACTGGCAAGTGCAATTTCATGGATTATTTCAGTATGGAGAGAGAGAGAGAGAGAGAGAGAGAGAGAGAGAGAGAGAGAGCGCACACTTGCAACCTTGCAACCACCTGACAGTCTAGCTTGTGGTATGTACCACATGACAGTAAGGTAAACAGCTGGCTGCCGAGAAGACCACATCACCTGAACCCAGCAAGGCAGTGCTGGAAACATTGTGCAAATCTTCAATAAGCGAGGAAAGCAGACAAATGAGCACCAACAGTATTAGGTAAAAAAGGAATGTGCAGTAAAACAAAGGGCTGATGAAACCCCAAATCTGGTTTTATTTAAGGGCATTAGACAAAGTTTGGGAAGGAACAATCATGACTAGAGAAACCCAAAAGCAAAGATGCAAAATGTGACGGCTGAGCAGAAACTTGAGTGCAATCCAAGCAACTTACAACACATGAGTTCATACACATCCCTACAATTTTTGTGCTGCTTTTTTTAGAGACAGTCTTAATATGCATCCCAGGCTGGTCTCAACCTCACCATCCTCCTGTCTCAGCCTCTCAAGTGCTGAAACTCCAGACACGTCTCCCAAACCACACTCAGGTCCCCATCACTTTTTAACTGGAGCAGAATTGTGTCTTTAACTTCATAAAGCTCATGAGTGGTCACATGACCTGGCAAAGGGGCTGCACTGGACTACAGTGTGGCAGCGCCCCTGGTGACTTCCCTCACCGTGCATTCCCCCGCCCTGTGCTCACCTGAAGGGTGCAGGGCTGAGGGGTAGAAGTCCACGGGTGTCCGGGCGGGTGTGACGCGTGGGTCCATGTAGGGGGGCATCATCATCCAGCGTGGGTCGAAGCCCAGCATCTGGGGGTGGTGTGGGTAGAAGGTGCGCTGGGGGTGTGAAGGCGGCGGGTACACCGGCTGCCAGTGCTGCATCTTGTACAGCTGCTCCTGGGGGAAGAGGACAAGTAGGGAATGAGAGAGAGCAGGGCACACAAAGGTGCTCATGGCCCAGCCCTCCAGGAGGGGCACAAAAAAGCCCCTAACAGAAGGCCAAAATGAGGAATGTGCTAGGCATGTGGCAGTTTTCAGGCTGAGAGACAGCCATGGTGGTGTAACTACAAGGCTGCATGCTCCCGTGCCACCAACATCAGACGACAGTCACAGGGTGACTGAGTATCTCACAGAATCGGGTCCACATCGACGAGGAACACGGCCAGGGTTGTCTACAGTCCCCCCTCCCCCAACATTCTACATTTGTTAGCCTTCAGCTTCCAAGGAGCCTTCGGTGGAGCCTTCTGCCCAACAACCTGACCCCAAAGGGCTACCAGTAGCCTATGAGGTTCTATCGGATCTTATGCCCTTGGCTCCACCTCCATGACACACTCCACTCTGCTTCACGGTCCTGTGGGCCCTTGCAGACCATGGGAAATCCTGGGCCTTGCACTGTGATGCTCCTCTCCTCTTCTTTTCCAACGCAGTTTCTGGAGTAGGCATATTCCCTCCACCAGACCTGACCAGGTCCCTATTCTGAGCTCCCACAAGCACTCCTGCTCCTGCTGCTCTCACAGAGCCAGCTGCCTGTCTCCCTAACTAACCGTAAGAGGCAGTGTATCCAGCTTGCTGGGGCACTGTGCTCTGAGGTACCTAAACACACCAGTGATTATTCAGCAATGAGACACTCACTCCACCCAACCAGCCTCGAGTCTAAAACAGGGGATGGGGATGCATGTGCTAAGTCAGAGGTCAAGGACAAACTCCATGAGATCTTCAGCCTGTCGGTCTCACTGAGAACAGAACAGCCTTCCAGCCTGCTGTTGGGCTGCAACTCATCACTTGTGCTCACAGCATCTCTCTGGGGAACACTCAGTCACGGCAACTCAATGATGGGAAGATTGAAGAGCTAACTTTGAGGCCTATATAACACTCTCTGGCTAAATCACAGTACCTGAGGACCAGGCCAGCCCAGCAGCCCCGCTGCTCTCACACTCTTGAGGTACAATGCACCACCACCACCTTCTCCATCCCTAGGAAGAGCTGCAGAAACAACCACTGCCACGAACACTGTACCTCCGACTCCCAGTCTCAAGTGACTGTGTACGTTTATACAGCAGTAACATAAACAGAGTTGACAGAGCCACGAGAATGCTTCCTGTGAGCCCAAAGCACAGAAACGGGGGAGGGGAGTCGGAGGAAATTAAAGGAGATCTTTGGCCTCCAAGGCGCACCCACTTTGAAGCAGTTTTAGATGCAAACATTACACACCCAGCTGGGCTTCCAAGAGACACCGCAACCATCTCACTTCCAGCAAAACACACGGTTCCTAGGAACAACTGCCATTTCCTTTGCTGGCACCAAAAACTGAACCCGGGCTCCCCTTCATGCTGGGCAAGCTCTGCCAGAGCTAATCCCAGTCTCAGTGGTTACTATTCTCTAAGGAACGCATCTGCCGATGGGCACCGATCACGAAGACACAGGACCTGCTGTGATTCTAGCCTCCAGAGCAAAAGTGCAGGTCCCTTTGAGAGTTTCAGAGCTGACCTGCTCATGGGTGTCGCTGGCAAAGCTCTCTGCCCTATTGAGGCAGGAACCCAACCTCTCCAGTTTACCAAAGAAGAGAACGGGCTGATGAGTGACACTAGCCAATGTGGCCACGCTCTACCAGTTAAGAACACTGTCTGGGTGGGAGCCATGACTCTCCAAGAACCCTACAAGATGAACACCCTTAATCCAAAGCTGATTTGTCCCTCTTCAGGAACTCTGGAGACAGTGCAGAAGGCTCTGGAGGCCTCAGAAGCCCAAGTATGTTTAAATGGGGGGGTGGGGGGAGCCTGCATCAAACGTAGCTCAGAGAGCACAGTACTCAGTGTACACAAGCATTTGGTTCATGCACAGAGCCTCTCCCAATGGGGAGATCTTCTGAGTTTTAGAAATATGATCCCTGACATCTGCAATGGCAGCTGTACCAAGGGAAGGTACTGCTGATTCTTTAAACTGGAGGTGAGTGGGATGAGCATCTGCCAGTTTACCTGCTGCTGCTGCTGCTGCTGCTGCTGCTGGCGCTGGAAACGGGGAGGAAGGGACTTCTGATACTTGCTGAACTCCTGTATAGGGGACCCGGTCTCCCTGGCTTCCTCCTCGCTGCTGCTGCTACTGCTACTGCTGCTGCTGTTGCTCTGAGCCACTGCAGGGGGTGTTGCAGGCGTGTCTTCCAAGAACATGGTGGGTACTTCTTGGACAGGGAATTCTGGGGAGCCTACACAGTAGACAGGCAAAGAAATGGCATAGTGAGGGGCGAGACAGCTCAGAGGTTAAGAACACTGTTCTTCCAAAGGTTCTGAGTTCAATTCCCAGCAACCACAAGGTGGCTCATAACCATCTATGGTGATCTCATGCCCTCTTCAGGTGCATAGGCACACATGCAGGCAGAATGCTGTATAAATAAATGAACTAAAAAAGACAGAGTCACAGTGAGCGCATGGGAGCCCGAGCAACCCTGTGGTGCACAACAAGTATTTCTGTGCCACAGTATACACTCCACTGGGGACCATTCACTGACCTAGGCCCAGCTACCGACACCAAGTGCTCCTTGGCACCACACTGTATTCCCCACAAAGCACAGTTAGAAAAAACCAACCAACCAAAACACAAAACCAGATGAGGCTGCTGAGTCAGCTCAGAACTGTACACAATCACGGTGGGGCAGGAGAGAAGGCAGCCTCCACCTCAGTGACGACCTCCAGATTCATCCCCCAAACAAAATGAATTCAACCGCTACAGGCGGGCAACCTGAGGCCTTTCCTCAGCCTCCTCAGCTGTCAATACGTACTGACAGCTAAGCCTGTTCCGCAAGGCTTGTATGAGAATTCAATGTGATCACGGCCTAAACAAGGCCTGACTAAACAGGGCCTTGTAATGAAGTTTTGGTTTTCTTAAAAACTTAGTTACGTTATGTAAGTATGTTTTTGTTTTAATCGCAAGTGTGGGATTTTAGTTTGAGCTTTTTCGTTTGTCTACAGCTGATGATAGCCTCCTGTGGGCGTGGTCTTTGACAGCTGGTAATGGCCTTGTTCAGCAAGGAGAGGGGTGTGGTCTAGGACTCTGAGAGATATAAATATGAGAGCACAGAAAGAGAAAGTGTGGCAAGTTTGGAGAGACCAGAGACAGGTGTGGTGGCCTGGAGGAGAAAGTGAAGCCTGCTTCTTGATTTTGCTGATGACGGTATTGCCCCAAAAGAACCGAATGACCCTAAGCAGCCGGGGGAAGTTAAGGAGTCTATGGGCCCCCTCCCCACTAAAGTTTCTCTCTCCTACCTATGGTTAGGGGGTCGGAAGGGAGAGGCTTTAAGAAACCCAGAATTTTAAAAGAGAGGGCAACAGGGCCCGACTCACACTACAGTCAAAGCAGTTTCTGTACCGCCACCTCTAAGCCCTCAGGTGTTGGCAGTCTCCACTCAGGCTGCAAAGAGGTGGTGGCATCAGAAGAACACTGGCACTTCCTCAGCACCAGAGGGACCCTGGCAGCTTCAGACTGCCAAATACCACCACACACACAGAAGACATTTACAGACGGCTCTCCCAGGAAGAGGCGATCTGAGCTGACTGAGGGGCCTTCTGCAAGATACAGCTGATGGCTCCCCCAGAGAACGCCTGTGGCCTGGTGCTCAGTCCAGACTGCTCATCGCTCTCTGGAAGCCACCAGATGCTGCTTTTGGAGCTGTTACTGCCGGCTGGAGCATATTCTAACATCTAGAAAGACCCCTTTTCGTTTCCTGTAAATAATGCTCTTTTTTTCCTCACTCCTATGTTTTGCCAAGCAGGACAGGAAGTGATGGCAGCAGCAATGACGGAAGATTGCTTCTCTGTAGGCACCTGACACAGGCGCTCCACGTGTACAGGTGGAGACAGGTATACAAACATTTTGGAGGACTTCTTTAGTCTAGTTTCTGTGTATGTATGAGTGTATTTGCCTACCTGCATTATGTGTGTGCCTGGTACCCAGAGAGGGAGAGCGGCAGGCGCCCTGGAATTAGAGATGGTTGTGAAGCACCCTGTGCGTGCTGGGAATGAAATTTGGGTTCCCTGTGAAAGCAGCTATGTGGCTCCTAAGCCACTGAACCATGTCTCCAGCACTCACATCCTGAAATCAGTTTATCTCTGTGTCTATGTAAGAACATATGCACACACATACACACAATCATAGCATCATAACATGATGGCGGTCAGGAAACCCTGCACCTATCTGTTCTCTCCTCCACCTCTGCTCTGTTAGGCTGAGAGCCAACCTCCTTTACCTGCTGAGCCACCTTGCCAGTGGAAGCATTTACAGATGAAAAAGAAATGATTTCCAGATATGCAAGACATTTCCTCAGCTGGCTTACGAAGGTGAAATGGGGCTGGCAGGACGCTGAGTGGTAAAAGAGCTTAGCATGGAAACGTGAGGTCAGCCTCTCAACCCATGGGAAAGTGGAAGGAGAGATGACTTCACAGAGGCACCTTGGACCTCCACATACACACTCTAGGGAACACACACTCGAAAGGTGAGCTGGGACTAGTTAAGTAATCAGGTCTACACTTTTAATCACGTGGGCATGCGTGTGCAAAACAGGGTCTATGTATCTAATCTAACTGTCTGAAACTCTTTATACAGACCACAGTGATCTCAAACTCACAGAGATCCTGTCCCTCTGCCTCCCAAGTGCTGGGATTAAGTGTACGCCACCACACCCAGCCAGGCCTACACTTCAAATGACTGATGCTTCCCAGTATATGCTTTTTAGCCACAGGTTATGCTAGCTCATAGCCAGTGAAGTGGGGACAGTAGTTCAAGACTCCCAGTTGTGGGATAGGGAGACCTCTCACCTTTGTGGACAACAGGACCGTTCTCTGGTGGGGAGGACTTCTCAATGCCAGGGGATCGGGGGACCTCCTTGTCCACAGACTTGGGGGCCTCGCTGGCCTTCTGGGCCTGCTTGCACTTCTGGTCCAGCTGCTTGAGCTTGGCTGCACAGGCAGCCAGCCTCTCCTCCCGGGCCCGCCGTTCTTCCTCTTCCCTGCGCTTCCGGGCCCGTTCTACAGCCTCGGACATCTCTGACTGGATGAACTTCTGTCGTGGGGGTGGCTTGTCCTCCTTGTCCTCAATGGACTGCTGGCGGAACATGCTGCCCACTGTGGATTTCTGCTGAGAGAAGGATGGAATGAGGTGTGGGTTAACAGCAGCTTCCCCGCATGGGGACCAACAGTAGGAAAACAGCAAATGATGTTCTCAGTGTCTCTGAGGGGCATCGGCCTTGTGATTCCTCAGAGCAGAACGTAACATGCATCACTGCTAAGGCACAGAAGTGCCCCATGAGAATATAAGAGTCCTACGCTGTGACTTCAAATCGATGCTCCTATAGTAATGAAAATGCGTGACTACAAACATCTTGTTTGAGTATTTTCTCCATCCCTGAGTCTCCATCCCTGAGCCAATTGTCAGTTACAATACAATCAGGGTGTTAAAATGCCCTAGGAAAAACTCTTAACACCAAAAATACGTCCTGCAGAGCCAACGCTGCTGCAGACACAGAGAAAGAGAAAACACAGTAGGGGAGTGGATTCCCAGCCACAACAAAACGATTTTCTATTCTGAATGGTGGCCAGACAGGTGTAGGCCACAATCTAAGATGGCCAAACAGAAATGGCAAGGCTCTAGCTTCTCGTATAGGCTAATCACATCTATGTAAGAAATTCACATTTGTGAGGGCGAAGAATTCCTCCTAAAACCTAATTTTTCATGTTCCAGAAGCAACTATGATAAAGTGAGAATACAGGCCCAATATAAAAGTTCAGACATATCCTCTCCACACTATTTACTGAACCAAGGATGAATTTTTCCTCTCACTTTGCAACTAAATAAAACACCTGACCATACTTTAGAGATGGTTGCCTGCTGACCATTTCACAGCTCACCTCATAGGCTATCTGATCCTTGTTCAACCTTCAAAAACTAAGAAGTTTTTTTTTTTTTTTTTTTTTTTTTAAATGTGTGTATCCACATGTGAGGGCAGGTGCCTTTGGGCCAGAAGAAGGTGTCAGATCTCCTGAAGACAGCTGTGAGCTGCTGGCCATGGGGGCTAAGAACTAGACTCATGTCGTTAAGCAAAGCAGAAAGCATTTTTAACACCTGAACCATCTCTCCAGGCCCTGTATTGAGTGTGTGTGTGCACTCGCATGAGTTTTATATGTGAGAACTTTGGGAAGTCAGTTCTTTCCTTCCACCATCAGGGACCTGAGGTTTGAATTCAAATAAGTCATCAGGCTTGGCAGCAGGCTCCTTTACCCACTGGGGCATCCTGACAACTCACTTCTCTGTGTGTATGTTTTCTTTTGTTTTTGTTTTTAAGATTTTTACGGGGCTAAAGAAATGGCTTAGCAGTTAGGAGCACTGGGTACTCCTCTAGAGAACCCAGGTTCAGTTCCCAGCACCTACACCTGTCTGTAACCCAGTTCCAGGGCATTCATAGCAACAAGCATGCATGTGGTGCATGTACAATACATATACATGCACATATATACATACACACACACATATATGCAGTCAAATACCCACACACATAAAAATTTTTAAAGAGATTTATTTTTATTGTTATGTGTTTATGTCTGTGTTGGATACACGTGCCAGGAGAGGCCAGAGTGTCCAGACCTCCCAAAGCTGGAGTTGCGGGTAGCAGAGAGCCACCTAATACAGGTGCTGGGAACTGAACTTGGATCCTTTGGAAGAGCAGTACATACTCTCACCTACTGAGCTATTTCTTCAGTTCACTTTTATGGTTTTTGTTTGTTTGTTTTTTTCAAGACAGAGTTTCTCTGTGTAGCCCTGGCTGTCCTGGACTGGCTTTGTAGACCAGGATGGCCTCCACCTCACAGTGATCCGCTTGCCTCCGCCTCCCTGAGTGCTGGGATTACAGGCGTGTGCCACCACTTTTATTATGTATTTTTTTAAAAAAGATTCACTTATTTATTTATTTGCTTATCTATTTACTTACTTACTCATTCATTCATTCATTTATATGCAATGTTCTGTCTGCATATACATGTGAATGCTAGAAGAGGGACCTAGATCTCATTATAGATGGTTGTGAGCCACCATGTGGTTGCTGGGAATTGAACTCTGGACTTTTGCAAAAGCAGCCAGTGCTCCTAACCTCTGAGCTCTCTTAACATCTCTCCAGCCCTTTTCTGTATTCTTAAACCTGGTAATCTCCACAGGACTAAAACAGACTCAAAGGGTCCACATTCACTGCGAAGCCTTCAGGGACAGGGTGTCTCTGGAGGGGTGGGGAGACACTGCGCCCTCTTCAGCCAGCACAGAGCCCAGGCACACAGAAACAACAGGAGGAAAAGGCGCACAAGTGAGGGACAGAGCCAAAATGTTTCCCAAGAGAATTCCAAACAATGCCTTTTTCTTTCCCAGCACTTGCTCACTCACAGATCACTTTCCTGGGTGTGACAGGAAAGGTTGGTATGTCAGCTGCCAGGGAGTCACAGGGTCTCAGTGTGGGTGGCCTGAATCCAGCAGCTGCAAGGAATGAATCTGAGTGGCGGCTTGGTTTGGGACAACCATGATAAGGAAATTCAGGGAGGGTACTGTGGAGCAAAGGTGACACATCAGGGCTGGGGAGGAATCTGTGCAACGGAAACTGCTCACACAGCAGCCGACCAAGGAAGCATCATTGTTAGGAACGCGGGATTTCTGTTGTAAGAGGGATGTATAAATACCTAAGGAGGGCAAAGGAGACCTGGACAAGTGTGAGGACCCAAGTGCCAGCTCCAGACTCCATGTAAAAGCCAGATACATAGCATGAGTGCCTGTAACCCCAGTGCTCCCCAGGGAGAGGTGAACCAGAGACAGGAGAATTCCCAGAAACTCTCAGGCCTGCTAACAACAGAAAAACACCAAAGACCCTGTCTTAAACAGGGTGGAAAGGAGAGATGGAGAGCAAACTCTCTGCCAACTTCCACAGGTATACAGTAGAACCTGAGCTCCTGTCACACAAATTTCGGATTTTTTATCTTTTTTTTTTTTTTAAAGATTTATTATTTATACAACATCATGCCTACACACCAGATCTTACTATAGATGGTTCTGAGCCACCATGTGGTTGCTGGGAATTGAACTCAGGACCTTCGGAAGAACAGGGAGTGTTCTCGAACCTCTGAGCCATCTCTCCAGGCCCCAAATTTCAGATTTTTAATACAGACAGGAATAGAGATAGGACAAAATCAGATGCCTGTTCCCACTGACAAGGACCAATAGTAACAAGTATTCCTGAGTGTCAGGAATATTATCCAGCTTTCAAAAGAACCAAGAGTTCTTCAGAGAACAGACCCGGATAGCAGGAGACTCAGGCCTGGATGAGTTTTGAAGGAGCTTCTCCTTAGACAGAAAGCAAGAGTTCAAAGTGAGATAAGAAACTAGAGGATCCACAGTGAGGATCCTAACTCCAGATGATGACAGATTATCAAGTGCTAAATGAATGACTAACCTGAAAGCATAAGTGGGGCCAGTGAGATGGCTCAGCAGGTAAAGATGCTGGCTGCAGGAGCCCGGTGAGCTGAGTCCAGTCCCCAGACCGGCATAAAGACGGAAGAACTCACTCTGTGAAGGTGTCCTCTGAACTCCACACATCGACTCCTGTACACACATCATACACACACACGCACGCACACACACAGTTTTAAATATGGTAATAGCTAGCCAGTCTCCACGTTTTCCCACATTTCTCATCAATCATGGTGGAGAAAAGGACTGTCCAGTGTAAGCCTTGGCAATATCACATTCACCAAGAGAACAAAATGCCAATCACCAGAGCCAGGAGGAGTCCAGGGAATCTGGCCATGAGCAAGCCTTAACCCACCCCACATGGAGGAGCTTGCCCCCTTCCTAAGCATGCAGCTGTAGAACTGGGGAAAGGCTGTGGGATGGGCAAGGCGCCAAAAGAGTTGCAGGACTTCGGCAGTACTGCTGCCTGCTGAATGCACAACAGCGAGGCAGCAACACAAGTTTCCAGGCTGACTCTGGTTCTTAAAAAAACAGAACTGTCTGGGCAGGAAGAAAACACCAGCACAGCCTGTAGTGAGAGTCTACCCAGGTAGTTGGCACACCCCTCAGCCACCAAGGAAAACAGCCTTTGTGATTCTGTTTTGTTTTTTGTGGGGGACAGGGTCTCACTAGGTAGCCCTCGGCTAGTCTAGAACTCACTATATAGGCCATGCTGGTCTTGAACTCATAGAGCACCTATCTCTGTCTCCTGAGCACTGGGATTAAAGACATATGTCACCATGGCCAGCCAGTTTTTGTATTTAATTCCAAGTTTCCTATTACCTTTATTACTGTTTCAAAGAAGGGAGGACTAGCCACAAAACTCAGGGGGATAGAACTTTTGTCTCAAAGCTTGATAGTTGAGTTTGACCTCTGAAAACCACAGAGGTGAAAGGAGAGAACCAATTTCACAAAGTTGTCCTCTGACCTCCACATGCATGCCATGACATATGTGCCCACATACGGCTGCTCACAACCATCTACAGTGAGATCTGAAGGCCTCTTCTATCAAGCATACATGCAGATAGAGTGCTCATATACATAAATAAATAAATCTTAGAAGAAAAAGAAGAAGAAGAAGAAGAAGAAGAAGAAGAAGAAGAAGAAGAAGAAGAAGAAGAAGAAGAAGAAGAAGAAGAAGAAGACCCAGCATTTCTAGAAACCCAGCCACCAATATCAACATTGTATGAACTCTCAGGAGAGTAGCTGGAGGCAACCATTATCTTCGGGAAATGCTCAAATGGGTGTGTGTGTGTGTGTGTGTGTGTGTGTGTGTGTGTGTGTGTGTGTGTATGTACATGTGCATGCACATGTATATAAAGGGGCAGGAGAGAGAGAGAGAGCACATGCACATACCAGGGCAGGTAAACAGCCAGGCACAGGCCCTGGGGACGCAGTACCTGGTAGTCGGGGCCAGATGTCCAGCCGTGAAGCTTCCTGGAAGGAGGCTGAGGCTCTGGCAGCTTTCTGACGACACGGGACACACTGGCTGCTTCGCTCCAGTCCTTTCCTTCCTCCTGAGTGCGCTTGGCATCAGTGCTGTCTGCAGAGCTCAGTGACAACTCCCGCTGCCGCCGTGGGTCCCAGCTGTTCCTAGGACAAACGGCAACTGTTAAGTTTGCCCAGACAGTCAGCCCTGTCTGACCACAGTGGTCAGGGACCTCTGGGATTTTTAAGCCAGCTATTACAACAATTTATAGACTCATTTCCTTCAACACTGCACCACACATAAGGCCTTTATGTGTGAACTGCAAAATTCAGGCCCAGTGTTTACCAAGTCACCATCAGTCATCCAGCCCTGGGAGACATGTAACTCACTCCCTGTCCTTGATGGCAAAGACAAGGCCTGCTCACTCGAATTTAAAGAGCTGGGGCTGAAGAGCTGGCTCAGAGGTTAACAGCTCTGGCTGCTTTTGCAGAGGTCCTGAGTTCAATTTCCAGTACCCACATGGTGGCTGTCTGTAAGTCCAGTTCCGGGGGCTCCAACACCCTCTCCTGACCTGCACAGACACTGGATGCCTGTGGTGCACAGACAGAATACCCATACACATAAAAGAGTAATTAACACAAAATCTTAAGAGAGCCGGGAACTTGGCCTCAGGAGAGAGGAGGAGACGGAAGGGCAGAGCTAGGACTCTGCCTCAGAGCACCCCACCTCCCTTCTCGGCTCTGCCTAGCACAGGTGCCCAACCAGGCAGATACTAAAGGACTACTACAATGAACAGCAAGAATTTAGAAAGTCCACCAGGGTAGAAAGGGAGACAGTGCACAACTGGGCAGTGAACGCTCTGTGGGAGGGAGTGCTGAACAGAGCAAAGATCTAGCGTCAACCACAACCACAGTCAGAGCCATACCTGCTTGGGTGTCAGAAGGCAGTCAGCAGCAGAGACTGGGGCAGGAGAGCTAACCTCAAGTGCATAATACACATGTGCACACACACTTTTTTTTTTTTTTTTTAAGAGTGTTCTATCTGCATTTACACTTGCCAGAAGAGGGAATCAGTTCACATTATAGATGGTTGTGAGCCACCATGTGGTTGCTGGGAATTGAACTCATGACCTTTGGAAGAGCAGACAGTGCTCTTAACCACTGAGTCATCTCCCCAGCCCCCCACACTTTTAAAACAATAAAAATGAATAAAAAATGAAAACCTAAGGAATTCCAGTACAGTGTTGTATTTTCCAAAGGGCATTAAGTAAGACTAGTCCAATGGAAATGATCCAAGAGAGAGAGGGAGACGGTGGAATGCCTGCAGGCCCCCTGGTGTGCACACACCTGCTTCTGTACCTTCCCAGTATGCTGCTGACAAGCCCAGCCCCCGAAAGTTCTTAGATTGGGGTCCCACAAAAGCTTTTCAGGGTACTCCGCCCATGGACAATCAGTGAGAAATAAATGCAGAGGTTTAAGGACCAGGCACAGGATCCAGATGGTCAGCCTGGATGGAAGCCTGACCCGTTCCTGCATTGTCCTCAGCAGAGCTCATCCCTGTGCTATGGAAACCAAGAACTGTCCCTAGCACAGTGCGGGCCACGTGCACTAACAAGCCTATGAGGGCTTCTGACTGCTCCACGCTCGGAGCTGGGGTCGGGGGACTTACCACTTTGACCGGCCGTCCTTCACAACTTCCTCCTCGTCCTCATCATCACTGAACTTCAGTTTCTCAGAATAGTCTACTTCCTCGTGGAGGCCTGCAACAGCAAGAGGACCCAGGAAGATGAGACAACTCAGGGACGACAGTGTCTCCACAGCCCGTGGTGCCCCAACTGACGTGAAGGGGTGCCTACTCCGCCCAGCTGCCACCTGCCGGGAGTCCTGGGTTCCCACAAGAGCGATGGGCTAGGCAATACCAACCCTCCCACAGACAAGTTTTAAATCAAGACAAAAATAAAGACAACCTCCTGTGTAGCCCAGACTTTCAACGACTCACAGTCTTGCCCTGCCCCACAGTGCTGGGATTGCTGGGATTACAGGCATGCACCACCACGGCCAACCTGAAACTGTAATTGGAAGCAGAAGAAAGGGAAAACAGACAGGGGCCCACCTCTGTAACACAGACACTTGTCAGAGACTTCTAGTGTCCTGTGCACTGACTGGCACAGGCTGCCAAAGTGTCCATAACTGCTGGACAAGATGCGGTAGAACCATTTGGTAGACTATGACTGGGTCGTACAGATGAACGTGGGTGACTACAGTGCACAAATGGGAGGAAAAGAGTGGTATCCAAAGAAGTGTCAGACATGGCTGTGCATGCCTGACATGTCCACGCTGAGGGTGGACTCAGATGGAAACCAGGGGCTCGCTGGCCAGCCGGTCTGGGTAAAGTAGTGAACTTCTGGTTCACTGAAGGACCGTATCTCAAAAATAAGGTGAAGGGCTGGCTGTGGTGGTGCACGCAGGGGGAGCGCTGTGAATTCAAGACCTGCTCTACAAAGTGAGTCCAGGACAGCCAAGGCCACACAGAGAAACCCTGTCTTACACAGACAGATAGATAATAAAATAATAAGATCAAGAGTGATGTAAGTCTCCACATACGCACATATGAGTGAACATACATAACACATACACGGCCCCAGAGATATGAAAAAAAAAAAAAAAAAAAAAAATTAAGGCCTTCACAAACAGAGCCGAATACAATGTTAGTAAGACATTAGAAAATTGAATGTAGGCCCACAACAGGTGGGGACATTTAGGCCAGGTCATTAATGCATCTGCCATGTTGTCAAAACAAGGAACATGAGCACGGGATCTACCCACTGAGGCTTAAGAAACAAAACCCCAAATGCCCAGCAAACCAGAACAGGAGGGAACATCCCGCCCTGATTAGTCAGCCTCTCACCTGAGTGGCCCACGACCAGAGAGGTCCAGTGTAGCGCTACCGTAAAGACACTGCAGCACACAAGAAACAGACATGAGAACCAGCAGAAGAGATAGCTGGGGGTGGTTCTCAGGGCATCCGCCGCGCACCTGAACTCCCAGGTGCCATCCCCAACGCCACAGGGAAAGTAATATTAAAATGTACTAATTAATGTAAAACAAATGTATGTCTGTATATTTATCTACTTATTTTGGGCAGCCCAGGAATCCACTGTAGATCGGGCTATCTCAGAATGCCACCAGTCTGCCTTCCACTGCACCATTTCACCAGGCTTGTGAAGCCCATCTTAAAGGAGCAGGTACACAATTTGGTGGGACAGCATCAGCCCACCATGAGCATGGCCCCGGGTCTGCTCTCCAGCACCATAAAAACAAACTGTCTTCATTTACGGGTGGCATGACAGTTCATACGGGAAAGTCTAGATCAAGAAAAACAGTAAGACCAACAGGTATGGTCTTCAAAGTCCAGTGGAAAACACAGCTATTATTTGTTTAAAAAAAAAAACCGAAAAGGACTTAAAATTAAAAACACAAAAAACTGCATTTATAGTCGTATCTTAAACATAAAGTACCTGAAAACCATTATCTTCATTTATTTACACAGGGGACACCTTCCATGTGTTGCAGGTTGGCCTTGAATTTGCTATGCAGTCAAAGTCCCATCCCCTTGACACCACAGCCCATTTACACGCTGGAGGGGGATTGGACCCAGTGCCTTCTGCATGTCAGACGAGCACTCTCACTAAATGAGACACACACCTGGCCCCTACTACCACTGTTAAAGACAAACAAGGTTTTGTTATAGTGCCCAGGCTGGTGAAGTGACCCTCTAGTTTTAGCTGCCCAAGGAGCTGAGGCCGGGACTATAGGAGACACCAGCACTTCCAGCTTGTGTATGTGCTGAGGTTGGATGGGTATCTGTAGCCGCAGTTAAACTCAGCACCTTCCCTGTACATGCTAAGCAAGCCCTCCACCCATGAATAAAATTACCAGAAAACACTAAGGTTCTCTCCACCGCAGCTGAGACACACAGCTCAGCAGCTAAGAGTATGTACACCGGTTGCAGAGAACTCAAGTTTTATGTCCAGGAACTCTAATTACAGCTCCAGGGGATCTGGTGCCCTCTTCTGGCCTCACAGGGCATCTGCACTCATGTGCATGTAGCCATACACAGACACATACTTAAAAATAAAATAAACCTTAAAAAAAAAAAAAAAAAAAAAGATAATCTCCACTGAATACAGAACATTGATGACAGAAAGAGCGACCCAGCAGAGATTTACCAGGATCCTTGAACACAAGAGTGTAGACTGCATGGCTGAACTTGGCACAGAAACAGACAAAATAATGCCAAGGTTGAACCTAAATTTGCAGACCTGCAAATTACTCAAGGAGTCAAATGTGCAAAGACCCAAAGAGGCAAGCTCAAACTATCTGAGTTTAAGAGTTACTACAACCAGCACAGCTGAATAAACAGGTCCATGGAAACAGCATCCAGAAACACACAAGGATGTATGTGGTCATCTGGCAAAAGTGCCAAACCAATTCAACAGGACCATCTCATTAAGCTGAAACGGTGAGTGGGCCAATGGTAAAGGCAACAGGACTGCTGGACCCTACGGAACATCACTACTCCCAAGAAGGCAAAAAAAGATTTGGACTGGATGCAAAAGGTAATTGAGAGAGATTTATTTTGTTTTTACTCACCTGACTGCGTGTATCTTTGTGAATAAATGTTATGTGTGTATCTGGTGCCCATGTAAGCCAGAAGAGGGCATCATAGCCCTGGAGCTGAGGGCACAGAAGATGCACTTAACTAAAGAGCCACCTCTCCAGCATATTAAGTAATGTGCATGTCTTTCTTTTAGTTATTATTATGTATGTGTGTGCCTGCGTGAATTTATGAGTACCACAGCACGGAGGAGTCTAAGGGCTTCAGATCCCCAGGAACTACAGTTATTGGTAATGGTGAAGCACCTGCCACAGGTGCTGGGAATTGAACCCAGGTCCTCGGCAAGAGCAATGAGCGCTCTTAATGGGGTTGTTATCTCTCTAGCTATGCCTGACCCCTATTTTTCTTTCTGTTTTTATTTTAATTTTGTTGAGACAGGATCTGACTATGTGTCTGGCCTCAACATCACAGAGATCCTTCTGCTTCTGGCTTCTGAGTATTGGGATTAAAGATGTGTATTACCACCTGAAATTATTTTTTCTGCTCCCCAAGACAGGGTTTCTGTGTCTCCCGGGCTGTCCTGGAACTCACTCTGTAGAGCAGGCTGGCTTTGAGCTGCTGGAGATCTACCTGTCTCTACCTCCTAAGTGCTGGGATTAAAGGGGTGCTCCATGTAGCCTAGGTTTTTGTTTTGTTTTATTTTAAATGTGTGAGTGTTCTGACCATTTGTGGAGGCCAAAAGAGGTATCAGATCCTCTGAAATTGGAATTCCAGATAGTTATGAGTTGCCATATAGGTGCTGGGAACAGAATCAATGTCCCCTTTAGGAACAGCTTGTGTTCTTAACCCCTAAGCCTTCTCTCTAGAGCCATGAGATTTTCTTAATGAGACATCTCAACAGATACAAAAGCACAGTACACTGATACATCATAGGAGGGACAGAAACTGCAATACACATGAAAATGCTGGCGAATACCAAAGTGTCAGCCGAGAGCAGAACACGGCAGCTGCACTGGGTTGCCGCTCTGCTAATGGTCACTGGAGCAGTGAGAACACCCTAATCCTAGCACTGAGCAGGTGGTGGAAGCGAGTGCAGGTGCTGAGCCTGGACCAGCCTGCGGTATATAAGAGCCTGTGTCTAAAAAACAAAACAGGGACTAAAGCAATGGCCCAGGGCCAAGAGCACGTAGGAGGGTACCTCTTCCCTGCAATCACAGGATTCAGGAGGCGAGAGCAAGCACAGAGGTTAAGGTCAGTCTTGGCTACGTACGGAGACCCTGACTCAGAAAGGGAAGGGCTTGCTCTAGCCAGATAACTCTGAAGGTAGATGTGCCGCATATTGCCAAGGCTGATGACCTGAGTGGATTCCCAGGACACAGGCAGGCAATCCCGTGTACACAAACACATGTACTCCAAGAAAATAAGTAAATACAATGTAGGAAAAAAAACTCTAGAAGAAGGTGATACCCTTGGGGCTGTTTAAGTACAGCCCAGTACAAGGGGAGAGGTTTCTATCCAGGCATACTAGTAAATGGCTGCAAGTCCAGAAAGTTCTTTGAAAACTCAATAGCTTTAGGATTAAGACCACAGCCCAAAGAAGTTCCCGCTTGTTCAAGGAGGGCCCTCTGGTCTGACTGCACATAGGGCTCAGGGAGTCTGCCATGTCCAAGAACAGCAAACACTGGTGCCACAGAGCTGCTGTCCCTCCTGCCACCCACCTGCCCAGCCATCGTCTGCATCGGTGTCCAGATCATCCAAGCCCTTCAGGTTTTCTGCGTTGATGATGGTGGGTCGTGGTGCCCGCTCCACCAGCTGCCTTAGTGGGCGCACTGGCCGTGCCATGCCTGACCTTTCTTTGCTGGTGAGACAGACAAGAATGATGGGCTCATATCGACTTATAAGTAGAAGCAGTCACTTTCCAAACACAAGTTCCACCGTGCATGTTCTGCTGTTTGAGTATCTGTATTACTTCCTTTTAGAAGGAATATGCAATGAACAATTAAAGACATTCTAGACAGGGATCGGCTTCATCCACAGTGACACATACTCATTGCTGCCCTGACCACAGCACTGCCAGACTCCGGCACTGCAGGGACTTCATGCTGCCAACTATGCCCCTTGCCAGGCCCAACTCTCATCACCTAACCCGCCATGCCTGGATGTTCTCTGCAGTCTCCAGAGCACAAAGACCCTCAGGCATGATCTCTCACACACTGGCACATACAACCACAGGGCCACAGCCTTACCCATCTTGGTCATTCATTTGGAACTGTCTAAAAGGAACACGGGGTTCCAGGCGAAGCTGAGGAAGGGGGAAGGAGCTTCGTTCCACTGGACCCTGGTTCTCTGTTGACTGTGGTGAACACATCTGAAACACAATGGCGATGAGTAAGATTTTTTGGTGATGGCCCCAATCACATATTAAATGAGAATTCATTTTGGAAAGTGGAATATGGCGGTAAGGGACACAGGAAAGGCTGGAAGGGTTTGGGTTTACTGATGAATCACAGTGCCCCTATCTGCCTTGGGATCAATAAGGCTGGAAAGACCTTTTTCCCTTTTTCTGAAGAACCAAAACTACAATGGCATTCAAAACTCAGGAGCAGTAGCCAGAGGCAGGAGCCTGGAAGGCGCAGAAGGAGTGGGGCTCTACTGTAGGCCACAGTGGTCCCCGGCTGCTATCCTAAAAGTTAGCTCAGGCTGTGTGGCTGCTGAGCCAGTTCTCATGAAAAGAAGGAGTATCCAGCTACGGGGTAAGATGCGCTGAAGACTTACAAAAGCAGGAAGCATGTCATGGTATGTGGGAGGCTGGTAAGTATGTCCCATGAACTGTGAGGCCCCTTTGCGGATGGGCTGAGCTGGGCGGAGAGAGGGGTCCTTAGAGTCGCTGGTGCATGCGGAGGAGGAGGCTCCATCCCCAGCACTGGAGTTCCTGCTGCCCAGCTCTGTCGGGGAGGCGTTCAGAGACGTGGCAGAAATGATGTTTCGCCCACCGCCCTCCCTCCAGCTTGTCACATCTGTAAAGTGGAAAAGGACAAAAGAGAAAAGGGGAAGGAGGAGATTTGTAAAGTTCTAATGGTCAATGGACACTACCCGTTCTTATAAAAACACAAAAATCAAAATGAAAACAAACAAAAGCCCAAGTGCTGACAGGGCAGGGAGGAAGCAGGAAGCTAGAATTTCTTGAGAGGCATCGAATATATGCCTGAGAGAAACAAAGTGAGTTCCGCTTCAGAGAGATACAAGAGCCAACAGAACTGGCTCCCTACGGCTGACACCCACCCAGAGGGCAGAACATGGGGGTGACAGGACAGCTTGACTTACTCCTCCAGCCAACACTGTCCCAGCCATCAAGGCCAGCGTGACTCTTGTGTTGGCATAATGTTCCTTTGGAATGTCTACAATTTACCCTTGTTCATTCAAATGCTGATTTCTCTCCCCCATTATCTAGTTTCAATCTGGACATTGCATTGTGATACTTATTCTAAGCATCACCTGTCTCAAGTTTGTGTAAACATGCCACCATTTGTTCTCTATATTGTCAATTAAAACAACCAGCCATAATGCTGAGCAATGGAGAGGATAGGGTGGGACACCCTGGTCCAGAGTGGGAGGAAGAAGGAGGCAGGAGAGGAGAGGAGGGAATCTGCAGGAGGTCTTGAAACTACGTGGAGAAATGAACCGGACCTATGATATGACTAAAAGCAAGTATAATGGGTGAAACCTGAATGGTAGGACACTATGCGGGCTTGAAGGTTTAGGATGGTGTAACTATTGCCCAGCATTGTGTTCTAAGTTAATTAAATAAATCCTGGTCTCTGTGTGGTGATTTGGGAATAACTGCTGCTTAACCAAAAAATATATCAATAGTAAATATTAATATACGGCAACAGTCTTGACATAGGCTCATATTTAAACTACAGGCAGCCTGAAACTATGCTTTCATTCTAGGTTGAGCTGCGGTACTGCCCAAAGAGCCTCAGTCTGAAATGTTGCTGATGCATGCTGGCATACATAGGGCCCACACTCAGGTCAAAGGTAAAAACCTATGGAGCTAGGAGGGTGTCTCAGCGGGTTGCTGCCAAGCTGATGGCCAGAGTTCAATCCCCAGGCCTCCTGTGGTAGAAGGGGAGAATCAACTTTCCCCTGACCTCCACATGCCTGCTACAGTATTTGTGCTCCTCTACCCAATGAACACACCCAAAATAAATGCTTTAGAAACTTAAAGACCCGACAGCTCTCTATCCCTAAGAAAGACTGTTTCTCATAGACTCATGATAGCAACCGGTACAGGAGACCTGACCAGAAGGGATACTCCCAGCTCCAACAGACTGGTTTTTCTTTTTTGAGGCAGGGTCTCACTATGTATCCCTCGCTGGCTTAGAGCTCGCACTGTAGACCAGACTGGCCTCAAACTCATAGAGATCCATCTGCCTCTGCCTCCCAACTGCTGAGATCAAAGGAAAGAGCCACCATGCCTGGCCAGGTTGGTTTTTCTTTGTTTAAAGATTTGTTTGTTTATGTAGTGTTCTGCCTCCATGTGTGCCTGCAGGCCAAAAAGGGCACCAGGTCTCATCATAGATGGTTATGAACCACCATATGGTTGCTGGGAATTTAACTCAGGACCTCTGGAAGAGCAACCAGTGCTCTTAACTAACTCTGAGCCATCTCTCCAGCCCCAGACTGTTTTTTCTTATATACATGTAAAATTAATTTGGGGGGGGGGGTGCTGGTGTTTGAGAAAGGGTTTCTCTGTGTAGCCTTGGCTATACTGGACTTGCTTTGTAGACCAGGCTGGCTTTGAAACCACAGAGACCATCTGACTCTGCCTCCCCGAGTACTGGGATCACAGGTGTGCACCACCACACTCACCTTAAAATTAATTTATAAATCAATTACAAACACTAACGGTGTGATATGTCCCTCTTTCATAATAGTGTAGGGAAGTTTTCAGGTGCGGCCCACTGTGGTTGACTTAAACTGTAGTCCCACTGCATACAATGGGACTAGAGTGGGGGCTGAACAGGAACAAACCCAGACTCCTCTCCATCCACTTCTGGCTAGGAGGTGAAACAGGAAAGGACCCAGTGCCTGCCACCCGCAAGAGAAAAGACAGCTAGTCTGCTCCCAATTTGTTTCGATCCTGGGATGCCAAGATCACCCCTTTGGCCACCTTCTTAAGAGAGGGAATTGTCTAGAAGCTGCTTCTATCTCCACACTTTGGTCCCACAGGGAAGGAATCTGAGTCACGGCAGGGCTCTTCTAACACTAACTATCCACATTAGCACTGTGTACACTCAGTGCTAAGTCAGATGGTGCCTCTGACTTGCCGTCAGCAGTACCATCAACAGGAGCGGCCTTGGGACTGAACAAGACAGGCAGGCAAGAGCCCCTTGAATTTCAAGAGCTGAACCAAAGGAGGTAGTTCAGTTCCTTGGTCAGGATGGACAGAAAACCTAGTTCTGAAATACCAGAACCCACCCGGAAGGCCTGCGGGCCAAGCACCCACACGTGGCACCGCACACAGGCCTGCCCTGATCCCTGACATCAGAGGAGCCAACAGTGCTGGCTGCTGCAGACTCACCTGCTCAATTCTGATGTCGCTGGGGAAGGGTGGAAGGCAGACTCTAACAAGCCTTGGGGTGACAATCAGCATGGAAACAGGCTATAGAACCAGGGACCTGGTCAAGTTAGCTGCACCTGTATCCATGAAGCACCACCCAGCTTAGTGGAAGTAATACTGGATGATAAATGGACAGTGGCAAGACCTGGCTCAGCCAGAGGGATGAGAGACAGAGGTGAGGGACAGGCCAGTGGCAGTCAGGACACACATGTCAATCAAGCCAGCTAGGTGCTTCCATGCTCTGACACGTAGGCCCAGCAGCCACCTGGAAGGGCAGAAGGAAGAAAGGGGTCTGGTACTCAGTGAGGACCTGAGGACAAAACTGCCATTCACTCACTCTGAGGGCGGAGGCTTGGTCCTGGCCCATACGACAGATCTAAGGCGCCCTTTTCTTTGCCAGCCTTGTCCTGCCCTCCAGCTGCTTTCAGCGTCGGAAATTCCTCGGGAGAGAAGGATAATAGTCGGCTTGAGCCCCTTAAACCTGTCAAGAGAGGCAGAGAAGACACAGGGAGCGAGTGAGATGGCCAAGCAGTCTTTCTTGCCTGCTTTCCTAGCCCCACACAGCCTGGTGTGCCTGCACATGAGCAGTGTTCAGGACATCCTCCCTTAGCTGTCCCCAGGAGCCGGCGAGTGGTCACACAGGAGGAGGGACAGGATGCCACCTCCAGCACACGTGCCTTTCCACCCCTGGGAGTCGGCTGGTACTTGTGCCTGCTCAGGGTGTCACGACTGCTTCATGTGGGGCAGCAGCAGCAGGCGCCCTACAAGGCTGTGGCCTATGGGCTGAGGCCAACCTCCCTCCTAAAGTTCACCTCCTCAACCTTCTCCAGCCCTGCAAAGCCAAGTGGTCCTGGTGTAACCCCAAGAGCATTTCTTTCTTCAACTGTCAAACCCCTGAGAAGGAGCAGCCCTGTTTTAAGTTCACTTCTGACAAATAGATCCTGTCACTGCCTGGATGAACAGAGAGTGGCCCTTTAAGGTCCATGGTGGGAACAGGTCCTCTCTCAACTATACAGCCCATATTAAGTACCACACAAGTGTACTGAGGCACCACCACACCACTGTCCGCACTCCTAGATTTTCAGTACAATACACAGGCACCTGCTGGCTGAAACAGGGTCGACCAGGGTCAGGTCACTTATAATCAGAAAAGGGAGTCTTAATTATGAAATGCCTCCATAAGACTATAAGCAAGTCTGTGGTGCACTCTCTTGATCACTGATTGACACAGGGGAGCCGGCCAACTGGAGGCAGACCTGATCATATATAGAAAAGCAAACTGAATAGCAGGGGAGCAAGCCAGTAAGCAGCATTCTTCTACGACTTCCACTTCAGTTCCTGACCCCAGATAGACCCAGAGTTCCTGCACACACTTCTGTCCATGAGGGGCAGTGAGGTAAAATAAACCTTCTTCTCTCCAAGTTGCTTCTGGTCACGGAGGGGTTCTTTCTGTCACAGCAACAGAAAGTAATTTAAGACAGTGAGCCTCTAGCCAGAGATTCTGTCTCAAAGAGTAAGGTGTACCATCCTGGAGGAAGACACTGAAAATGATCCTCTGACCTTCACACGCACACAGCTGCACATGTTACACGCCTGCATACAGCGTGGAATTCCCACACGAGCACGGAAACGTGCTTACACAGCAACACTTAACAGGCTCCACAGAGAGCCCTGACAGCCAGGACCCGGCTGACAGTTGCCCGCCCTCCCTGCTGTTACCATTCATCTCACCCCCACAGCAAAGTGCTCTCACGGTGTGCAGCCGGGCCGACTACACGCAGGGAAGACATGCACACTCTGACATGCCTAAAGGTCCCTGGGAGACACTGGGCACTAACTTGCAGCACTGTGTGAGCTTTCCTCGCCACCATGATACATTCCATATCCTCTGTGTTGCCCATCCATGTCCACTGGAGGTCAAGTGTGGCCCCACCCTTACAGGGACACACAAGAGTGGGAAGGTACCCCCAGGGTAGAGGACAAGAGTAAAACAGGGCGCTTCTCCAAATAAAGAGCAACTTCAGGTTCCAACAGTTTGCACCTTGGAGCTGTCCCTGGCACCTCATCTCCCTCACAGGCAGGGCTGCCAAGCCAGGTCAGCACTGTGTGTCAGGAAAACCTGTAAGACTCATGTAATCTTCTGATTCATGGCACCCTCAAAACCACGCACGCGCTGCGGGCTGCAGAGCTGACTCAGTGGCTAAGAACACTGGCTGCTCTTTCAGCAGTCTTGAGTTCAATTCCCAGCACCCACATTGTGGCTCACAACCATCATGGGATCCGGTGACTTCTTCCAGTGTGCAGACTGATTGATGTACAATCTGCTGACTCTGGCCTCACCTCCGGGGTCACAGGAACTGTGCCACCTGCACAGGACCCGCCCAAACCACTGCTGGAACTACTCTCCACACTTTTTCCTGCAGCACATTGTCCACTCACCTGTCTCCATGAATATGGTGGACTGACCTTTTTAGATCCTCCTGCCAGTCAGGATGCTAAAAGCAGCCAATCCTCCAAAGCCTCTGGGTGAATGCCTGTAAGCAACTGTCCCACCCCATACGGGCTTCCTCAGCACTTAAGACCTGGAGCTGGCTACAGGACCATCAGGGCCAGTGCTGGGGCTCTTCTGCCCAGCTCAACAAGAACACTTCCAATCCAATAGCCAATACCAAACTCAAACGAGGCCAACCATCATAGAACTGGCAGCCTAAGAAACAGCACAACATCAACACCAGCCCTTTGTGGAAGATCCCACGGTGTCTAGATCCCAGACCCATCTGGAAGAGTCTGGAAGAGAACTGCTCCATCCTGCCTACCCACCCAAGCCACAGCAGCCACTTACCACCTTCGTGTCCGACTGGCTTTCCACTCAGCTGTGCCCATGACTTTGGTCCACCTGGCACTGAATTTGTGTTCTAAGAAGAGGAAGAAAACAAGAGCCAGCTCAGCCAACCTGCTGTGCAACTGAGTGCCTCAGAATGTGGCACTCAGCCATGGCAGGGCTCAGCGGCAGAACGCTAGCCTGGCATGCCCGGCCCTGGGTACCAACCCTAGCACCACAAAGAGAAGACAGGGCGGGTGAGGGTTGCATTTCAGACTCAAGCCTCACACAGAGGGCAGAGGGCCACGTCAGAGCTCTCAGTGTAGCAGTCCCAGGCAGAGTCAGGAACTTAGGGCCCAAAGTAGCTCAGCTGATGAGCAAGCATTGTAGACTCAAACCCACACCCGCCCTCACGCAGAACTCTGCAAAGGCCAGGCTGTCCAGTGCCTACACAGAGCTGTGCTGTCTTGCTCCATAGACAAAGCTCCAACCCCAATTTCAGTACATCTCAAATCTGTGCCACCGAGAAGTGCGGAACATGCCCAGGAAACCTAACACACCCAACAATTACAAGTGCTGCTCTTCAGAGCCGGACCCCAGAGGCCTTCCTGCTCCACTCAGCTACACTTGCCTATCTCAGCCTCAGCCCTATAGACAACCTCTGCTGAAAGTTGAGGCTAGCGAATCGGGAATTAAGCGAAATCCCACCAGGCCTCTGGAAGGATCTGATCAGCTTCCAAATGGAACTCAGGTATGGCAGCAGCGATGGAACCAGACTTACCCACTGCTCCCCATGCAGAAAATGTCTGCTATGTCTATCTAGCCCTGAGCACAGACAGCAAGGGCTCCTTCGCTGTGTACTGTGGCAAAGCTACAGTGTCTCCCTTTTCCAAAGGGCAGCAGGGCACACAGCTGGGCTGGATGGTGTCTTGTAAGCAGAGGGGCACCAGGAGTGGTGCCATTCTCCTTCCCACACTGGAACCACACACCTCACCTGTGCCTATAACCCCAGGGTGAGACAGCCCTTACCAGGAACAGTAATGAAGAATCTCAATTCTGTTGGTAATTTCTATCTCAAAGACCTTCTGAAAGTCACAAGTCATACAGTGTCCCTCTTCGTTTCCTCTCAAGTAAGCGAGGAAACCCCAGAGCCTCTAAGGAGAGTTAAGTGACCTGTGTGGGACACACTCCTTCCTCCACCGGCCAGAACTGCCAAAGCCCATGGCCTTCTTACAGAGGTTCCCCAGGACGGACCCAGATTGCAGAGCCAGGCTCAGGTCAGGGCACAGTGCATTTACCAAGCTCTGTTCTGCGTGGCTAAGCCTGAAGCATCAGAGGTGTAACCTCACTTAGCTTAAAATCTGAAGAAGAGGAAGTCAACTCCATCCTGTGATTTCACAGGCCCAAAGGATGTGGCCAATGTGTGTGGAGTCTGATGGACATAATTCAGCGCTGGAGAGGGAGGTGTCCTGGAGAAGCCAAAGGCTCCCCAGACACACACTCATCCCGTCACGGCAGACAACAGCATTGCACCCAGGGGACCAGACAGAATCAAGACGTCAAGACAGCCAATGAGAGCTAGACACAGTGGCACTTGTCTCTGATCCCAGCAAAAGCAAGGCAAACGCAGGCAGGTATCTGTAAGCTCAAGGCCAGCCAGAGCTACACAGTAAGGCCTTGTCTTTAAATTTAAAAAAAAAAAAAAAAAAGGGGGCATCACAGATAGTTGTGTTTTTCCTGTTGGTACAGGAGGGCTTTTCTGCAGTCTGACACTTCCTGTGTTCTCAGGACACTAGTATCCACAGGGCCCATTATGAAGCACTGAGCTAGCCTGTGGTCAGCCCAAGCTGCACCCAAGCAAGAGCCTGTGCTCTACTGTGTGTCTTTTTCCAAACAGCACCCATGATCCTCAGCAACAGGAACACCTAGGGAAGTCAGAACACCTACCTCCTGACTGATTGACTGTGTCGGTTTCTGCAAATTGGAGACAGATTTCTGCAAACCCGGCTGCGGCTGCGACTCCGGCGGCTGAGAGGCCGTCACACTGGAACTAGAAAAGGAAGGATGCACAGGGGATTGGGCTCGCATAGGGCCTCTGCTTGCTACCATAGTGACAGTGACAAGATGCTGACCCAGGTTCCAGGCCGACTCAGCGACACTGCCCGGGACATGGGGCAGTCTGCTGCTCGCTTCCAATAGCTGTCAAGAGAACTTGACAAATAAAAGTAACAAATAAAAAGATCGAGCAATGGAGAAACTCAATCACTGCCGTGAGGGGCCTGAGCTCCACTCCACCTACTCAGGGCAACTGCTTTGACACTCAACAGACTTCCACCTTGCCTCAGCACATAAAAGGAATGCATGCTCTCAGTAAAAATAAATTTATAAATATAAATAACAGACATTACCATCTCATCCTCCAGACACAAGCTCAGATTCCTAGAGTTCCCTATATATGTTCGTACAGTATTTTTAACACAAGATAGCCCCCTGAGTATGATTGTGCAATCTCTTCTTCCAGTCTGTTAGAGCTTCTTAGACAGAAGCCACCTTGATCGACGATGAACTGCAGCTGGATGAACCCTAGCTAATTACTGTCTGCTCCTCTTTCTTCCCCATCACAGACAGAACTTCAACAGACATTTTACACACATATGGGCCTTTGGGTATTCACTGTAAGTAACTCAGCCATATGATGCTAGAAAGGAAGCTGTCACTCCACGATGTCTTGAAATTTAAAAGCTATCACTGACTGCCTTCCAAGTAGGCTGTGGTGTGCCCACCCAAGGACAACAGAAAGGGCTGTGTGGAGCCTTCTGCTCTGCCTCAGTGCCAGGCATGTGACAGCCCACCTGGTGAGGAGTAGCCATTGCCAGGGCCTCATCTGGTGACAGAGCTCCGCAGACACACTGCTCTAAGTACATCTGACCCCAGTCAGTCACCAGTTAGAGAATGACAACACTCACAGTTGTTACGAGGCCACTGGGCCTCCTCCCACATCACCTTCTAACCTGAAACAGAAGCTTCCGGGTAGTGGCACTTCTGTATCTCCAAAGTTAGGCTCGAAGTTCCCCACAGACTAGGCCAGGGCACCAGGAAGCCTCAACTACTCCTTCTTCATGTCCTCCCCAGCACGTGGCCTTCCCTGAGTGTCTGGCACTGCCTCTGGCACTGCTGGCAGACCAAGAGGGGCGGCACTTTCTGGCCTTTTTTCTCTGCACCAGAGTCCCCACTGAACTGCCCCACATCTGCTTTACCACACAGCTGGTGGCCTCAAGTCAAATGGACAATGACGACAGCTGACGTGTGTCTGCCTTCTCTGCCAGTTTATTGTCCCAGGGGTGCACCAAAGAGCCCTGGCAGCCAGCTGGGGACTATTTCTTCTTGAAGGTGGACCCTGAGGCTCACAAGTCCCAACAAGCACAAATGATCTGACTGGAAACAGCACAGGAAACCAACACTGAAGATCTCTTTATACCTGCCAATTCATAGCATCCCTCACAAACTGACTGCAAAATATTTTTTGTTTTGTTTTGTTTTTTGTATGGCACAGGGTCTCTCAGTGTATGTACCACCATCCTTGGCTGCAAACTGTTTACACAGCCCAGGACCCATTTCAAACACTCCCACAGCACATCAGCTGGCTGCATGGTTCCCTCACACTGTATCTCCTTTCTGCCTTGCTGTAGGGACAATTTTCCCAAAGTCTCCAGGGCCATTTCCAGCGCAGGCTAAAAAGACAGGGGATGCTGGGTCACTTTCACTCACTGTCTAATTCCCTACATCAGCACGAAGGGGAGCACAGCAGTAAGAGGCTTCTGCCTCTGGAGCCCCTCCCAGGACACGGCTTCCTCCCTGAGAGGAATAGGGACCGAGACCTGCAGAGACTCAGAGAGCAAAGATGGCTCGTCATCTGAGGGGTTTGTGCAGGTCAGCTGCCAAGCTACATTCTCCTAACATGGAGCCACACAGGGCCCTGCCCTGGGGACAGATCTAAATCCCTGCACACACTCCCTTGGTTATGGAATATGGTTGTCCAAAGAAGCCACACCTGCCTCCACAGAGCAGAAGGTGCACTGTGCCCAGCACCCCAAGCCCTGCTCAACACCCTCCTGCTGCTCACCTCTTTGGGTCTTGCTGGTCCTGCTTGTTGGCCCATCCTGTCCCGTCCTTGGGTACTATCACGATGTTGGGGTCGTTTCCTTTGTTTTCAGACTTCAGGCTTGGCAGGTTTGCAGGCGGTGGCATGCGCCGGGCTGTGGCAACTTTTCCGAGACTCTGTAAGCCATGTCTAGGAATAACTGCAAGGAAAAGAGCATGGGACAAGAGCGCACACCTCACAGGAGGGAAGAGGCCAACTCTCAGCTCTGCTCACACTTAAGTGAGAAAGACAAGTGCCTGGAAGTCGTCACCCCAGCCTCTGCCAGCTCCCCCTCAGACTGCAGACAGAGGCCTGCTGGGATCTGCAAGGTTCCCACTCGACTGTGGCAGAAGGCAGCTGCAGCTCATGCCGGGGAGGAGATCGGCCCAGGAAGCTAAGCCCACAGTGACCACCCCCTCACCATGACATGGCCCTGGTTGTGCCAAGAACCCCCAGGAAGGCCCTGTGGGTGGCAGCAAGTCCTGCATGAACTTGTTCAACCAGGTTCCACGAAGTCAGAACCAGAAAACTAAAAGGGGCAAGGCTGTGCGGATGCTGTGCCATTCCTCCCCAGCCCCAGCTGACTAGTTCACAGGGAGACACAACTGCCTGGCCAGGTGTCTGCACATCTTACAAGCAAAGGAATCGTAAGAGGGGCCTTTGGCCAGGCCTTACCTGAGGATCTGACTGTGCCTACTGATCTCCCTTTATACTTGTCAAACAGGCTGAGAGTCGAGTACTTGCTTTTCCCATCCTTGCCCTGGGTTATTTGCCCCAAACGATCGGACATTGCGATGAAATGTCATCTAGTAAGGAAATTTTTCTCGGCACCGTTCCCGATTTGCCTATAGACCGGAAAAGAGGAGGTTAGTCACCAGTCCTCCAACTCAGAGCAGTGAATCCTTCCGGAATCAGAGATACACTGAAGATGTACACACAGCTATGGACTGTCCCGAGGAAAATGCCCTCAGCATTTACCCACAGGTGCTCGCTCCAGGTGGCTGGCCCTGCAGATAGCCTGGGCTACCCTACCCCCACTGATTACTTGCTGGTGAGACACACTGGAGTCTGCTGCCATGCCATGCCATGTTATCAATAGATTTTGACACACTCGGTCTCACTCCAAGTCAAGGACAACTGTTTAACACAGAAAACAATACTCCCAGCTTCTAGCTCACACAAAAAGGCAGCAAATTAGACTAAGGGAGGGGCAAAGCCCACCTTGGCCACAGATGCCATGTCAGG